ATGAGGAAATAACAAAGAGAATAAGGAATTGATTAATAAATAAACCAAAAAAGATGAATGGATGTTCAACTTTTTGGTGGACGCTGAAAATATCTAAGTCCAGCAGCTTTTAAGAATGATGGAATATCGATAATCGAGGTAGCATAATTGCCGTTTACCATGGGTAGGATTCAGTAAATATAGCAGACATTTTTAGCAAGAGTATGATAAGAAAATTATGTTCTTTGAATTTATATATATTTTTTATAATTGATTGTCACATTAATGACTATCTTACCCCTCAATTTGATGAGCATCCGTCATTTTAAATTGAAAATGTATTCAATAGTTCGCTCATTGGCGACTTTTTTGTTTTTCAACATTTATGTAATTTTTTCCTCAGAAAAGGGATTGGCTGTCAAGACCATTACTCATTTATTAATTTCTCTTCTTCGAAGCAATTAATGGACAGTAAATCCTCGTATACAAAATAGCGTTAATTGGAATAAAATTTTCCCAATCAATGGACAGTAAATCCGTGGACAGTAAATCCGCGGACAGTAAATCGTGTACACGCGAAATAGCTTAACTAGCTGGTGGTGCTTCATCTTCAAAAGAATCAAAGTGCACAACAGCTTTTCACAAAACATTTGAAACGCTTAAAAGACGGTCCAGTAATGATGAGATCAACGCAAAAATAACTATTGAAGAAATTAGCATTACTACTTGGATCATACAAAAAAAAGGGAATAATGCTTATTGACTTAGTTTTTCCCTTTTTTCATTGGCTTTTATCATGTGATCCAATAAAATTCTGTTTATCTTTAAGATTATTAAAAAGTTGAATTTTCAACATTTTACTTTTCCTATTTTCTTTCATTCGACGTTGATAATTTCTGTATTTTCCCCTTCTGCATTTTCCTCTTTTTTTTTCGACATTTTCCCTTTCTGCCTTTTGCACCAAACCCATTTTTATTTGAGAGTGTGGCGGTGGTGTGGGTGGAAATTCAGGTGACATTTACATCCATACCCACACCCCCTACATCGTACATACATGTACATTTCGTATATTTTTTAAAAACGATTGATAATTTTTTTTTTAATGTTTATATGCACAAATGTTCATAAAACTACTTATTTTTCTGGAGGAATGCATATTTATATACGTTCTACTGATGAATATTACCTTGAAAGTATAGAAAAAATAATGAACAAAAAAAGAAAACATGGAAAATTTTCTTCGATGATTCAGTAACTGCTATTTCGATTATTATTTATGTATCTAGGGAAGTTGTATTGCTTAAAAAGCAGAAATAACTATAGTGAGTGTTGCACATAAGAAAATCTGTTAAGGAAGGAAGGCAAACAAGACATGAAATTCGAGTTATTAGCAGATGAAAGCACTGAACATTTTTTTAAAGTCTACGAATTTTAAGGCTCTTATCTGACTGGGTAACTCAGGAATCTGTCTTCTTTAATAAGCTATACATGGCATTCATATGAGCGATGTAGACAGAATATTTTTCTTTTGCGTTCTTCGCTGTGCACTAAGTTAAAATGTGTCAGATGTGTTCGGATTGGCACAACACATTAAAGTACAGCATCATGTACTCACTGCGGCACATTTTATCCAACAGTACCACGACAAATTCTGTACGACACGTGCAACACACTTTTCATTGGTTCTTCTGAAAAAGTATATCTCGAATTGTTTTCAAGCTAACTCTATATAATTATTTTATTTTTCTTTAACTATTACTATTCTGAAAGCTCGAGTAGATCAAATCCTGGGATCTGTCCGATATTGAGTTGGTTCGATTTGCACCAGATTTGTTCAGGGTAGTTCTCTGTGGATCATCATGGATCCAGATTGACATTAACTCGATAAAAAAATGACCAAGAAATAGTCTAGAAAAAAAGCGTACCCTAAAAATTTAGCTATCGTATGTTGAACCACGTTGCTTATATGAGCCAGTACCAGCAGTGGCAGGATTCTGCTGTTCAATACAAGCAAAGTTCTAGCAGAATTCTGTATTCCTTATGATTAGTTGACAAGCAAAGTTCTGGTAACATTCTGCTGTGAATACAGAATTCTTACATTCTGGTTGTGAGAATTCTGCCACCCCTCATGAATCCGGTCAAGCATATTCAGAATATGTCATCGAATTTCGACGACCTCCTCTGAATGCTAAACCGCCGATTGGTACAAAACGTGCGAAAGGTATGTGTTATAATCTTTTGAGAAATACATTTAAACTCAGGCCTGAATAAAAATGACTCAACTAGATGGAAGTTTACTTTGAAAGTAATAGTATTTGTGTAGATCGAAGATATCTAATTTCAATGCATAAAAAAACGTTGAGGATCAATACAAAACAGATCGACTTATCATCGACGAAAAGACAAATAGGAAACATCCCCAACTTGGCAACGCTATTCGACTTTCTATTATGTAGGTCTCTATGAAAATAAGAAAAGCCTAAAATAATTCGTGCCTATTGGCGAATAGTCATGGACGTTATAGTCAATATTGGATCTATTACAAGCAATATCTTATTCCAGGAAAACTTCCCATTTTAGTTAGATACTTGAGCAGCACTAGCGATGTGCCGAGAGCGAAACTCAGTCACCGACTTGATTTGATTCGATCGAATTATGCTTCACCTTGACCTTATTTGCATTTTATGTTGTTATGGATGTGAGTGTTGTTACGAACAAAACACGCGCTAATCTACCCTCAATAACTCACACGAATGCACATATAGATCTTAGATGGCAACTACGCTTCGGGGAGTGATTATTTATAGCCTAGACCGACATTTAATGATATCAAACCGAGACCAAGAACTCGGCCTCGATGCGTCCCTAGAAAGCGCATCTATCGTTTAAGTAAAGAAACAATTAAAAATTAATTTGAGTTGCTTAAAAAAAGCCCAATACAGTAGTAATATGATCCTCTGTTAAAAACGGTAAAAAATCGATTTCAGGTTAGAAAACATAATGCTAAACACATGTAAAACAATCAAGCAGTTGAAGAAGCTGTAAATAAATCTGGTGCAGTATATTTAGTTTGATAATCGGATTTTTACAACTCCACATAGAATTCTAAGAAATCCGCTTAGTTCTTTATGTTGAAATCAGTCTGAATGATAAAATATAAAAATTCCACTCTAACAAGTTAGTAAACTGTTTTTTTTCTAAAAGATTAATTATCGAAATCTATAAAAACAAAATAATTTTGAATATTTAACTGCTTGATTTTATGATTCTGTTTAGATGATAAATGCATAATTTGAATAACACGCAGCTAATCAATAAATTCGAATAATTCGTTGAATTTTACGTTTTACTTATTCATTATCGAACAAAGAAATTAAGTAATAAGTGCATTCGCGCCAGATTTTGCTTGTCTGACATACAGAATAAAACGAATTACCGACACTTTCTTTCCTCGTCGGGGACATTATTTGATGACTAATATCTATTTTTATCTTACCATCTCATTAAAAACGGAAGCAGAGTGTTTCCTAGTGTCTTCAGTACTATTTTTCTTTTTTTTATATGAACTAAAAATAGACAATAGCCGATAAAAAAAGTCACGATCAAGAATTTAGAACATCGAGAACACAAGGGATTTATCGTCATATACAGTGATTCAACTTAGCCTGTTAGCGTTATTCTATACTGTCTGGAGACCACTAAAACGTTTCTGGTATTTCATGCCAGCTATTTCTTGTTCTTTAGGCTTCGACAATAATTATACTGCTTCTGTCTTCGTTATTGTCGATTACTAAATACTTTTTTTAATGGACTCGAACCTTTCAGATCTACAAGAACTGATGGCAATGTTCACTAGTACCGATCGACTTCATCTTTAGTTGGAATTGTGGAATTGTAAGAACTCATCGACATTTTCCAACAGAACAATCAGCACAAGTGTCAACTCTATTCTTCTTTAATCCGATGAATCTCATAGATAGTAAAAATGGAGGTGATATGAGTCACTCTACGTGACAAATGACAAGTTGTCTACTGCTCATGCATATTTGAAAGTCTCGCTTGAACTCACAATTATTTTTCATTTGCTCAAGAGTTCAGTAAAGTAATTAGAAAAAAGAGAATTCTATTCAAAATAATAGCTTGTTTTTCTCCCGATCGATCTATTCGAGCTGACATTAAAGGACCTGAAACCAGTACGCTTTTGTTTTTATTTATTCATCAGATAATATAAACTCATCGAGTAAATTTCGGATTCAAATGAATCTAGCGTCAATTGGTTTCGACTTTTGAATTATAAGAATTTTTTCCGGAAAAATAATTTCAATTAGTTCTGTCAGGGAAAATTCTGCCAACAAATAGCTGCTAGTTCATCGCTTATGCATAAGCGTCAAGTACACATTACAAATAGCTTTGAGAAAGAAATACGCAGGTCTTTGTAACTTTATCTTGCATGACTATAATAGATACACGACTAAAATATAATTAACTTTTTATTTAATCAAATGCTATGTAATTCATATAGGCGACGAGTACTTCCATGGATAGGCACCGACATTTTTTTCTAATGTATCTTAACATACCTACAAAGAAAACTTCGAGTATTTTAGCGCAAATTAGAAAAGAATTCTTTTGGCCTCATTTACTTTTCGACCTTTGGGAACTAAATTCATCTTGCTAGTAGCAGTAAATGATAGAATTAATGGGAGTTGATATTAACAAAAGATATTTTTCATGTATTCCATGCAAAACAGTTACAGAGTTCAATAGAGACATGTCTTGGATTGATGGTAGAGGCAAAAAGTTACGTTTCGACTACTGTTAGCATAAATTTATTATAAGATTTTTAAAACCATTTCGTTACTCCACAATTTTACCACATTTAGTAAATTTTTCACAAACATACTTTTTTTACTTCACAATATTAATATAATAATACGAGTTTTTTCTTTTCCCTTTAATAATACACAAGAATACTTTTCATGTGAATGACCAACGGAAAATACTATTTATTTATCGTTTTCTCTAGTGTGAACAAAGATCGTAAATTAATATTTGACATTATCAAATAAAGCCATGTTTTGATTGGCTGTAAAGACAATTTGAATTTCAACGATTATATATTAATCTATCCATGGCAATAAATTAACTAATTTGTTGTAACCATTTTCTCAGCATCATCTAAAATAAATGTTAATTCTGCTTGTTCAATTAATGAATCGATATCATTCGCGTGTGTTTCAGTATTATGTGCATATGAAATCAAAACAGTTGCGGATAAAAACCATTGAATTAAAATCGTAAATTTACGAATAGCTTCATGATAACCATATCTATAAATAAGATATTTCCATGTTAATTCAGCATATTTATTTTGAATTTCTAATATTTCACCAAGATTATCAAATTCTATACACATATCCCTATGAAATATTCGAGCATTTAAAGAAAACGCAAATAAAGATAATCCTAATTTAAATAGGACACTATCCAATGGAGTAAATTTAGTTGACCAACAATAATAGTCCACTTCTATTTTTCCATATTGACTGGCAAGAAAATTCGTTAGAGCTTTATGTTGAAATAAATGTGAATGATATAATGTAAAACTGCTCATTAAACAAGTAACATTGTCAGCAGCAGTATGTAATATAATGGATCGGCTATTCGATGATAGATTACTGATATCACTATTACGGCCAATAAATATTCCACTTGATTCATAAATGCTAACAATATATTTGCGTACGAGTTCTTCATTTATTGTAACCAAACATCGTGATGAATCGTGTTCAGATTGTAAATGTTGACTCGTCAAGAATAATTTCGATTCATCATAACTATTTGTAATATTTGTTAAAAGGGCCCACTCGTTTCTATCTAAGGATGAATTCTCTTTTTCTAGAAGATTAACTATTGGAATCTATGGAAATACAAATACAAAAACAAAACAAATTCTTTTTTAGATTCTTTAAATATTTAACTGTTTCTATATTGAATATTTCGGTTGATATTTCTTTTTTACTTTTATTAATGTGAGGTTCTCGTTTCGATGATAAACGCATCATTTCTACTTTCATTCCAGTAGAAAAACATTTTGCAAGCCTACATGCAGAGCACACATGACGATTGTTTATATTTATTTCACATAGGCCATCAAAATTACATATCAATGACTGCTAAACATAAGGGTGAAAATCGTTAGAAAAGATAAATAAGAATAAAAATGAAGACAAGCCTTTAGTGACAGAGCATTTCTTTTGAAAAACATTTTACATGGATGACACGAAATAACACCAAAATACGAATATACAGCCGACGATCCACAAATTCGGCATGGTGAAGCCTGTGGTTTTAATTTTTTTGTGCTCATTTTTTAAATAGAAGTTGCTGTTGTTTTGCTAAATCAGTTCAATTTTATATTTCTTTTTTATAGTATATAAACGGATGAGACTGTAGAAACGAGTCATGAGGCTGAAATTTTTTTTTTTTTTGGCAGAACGAAAAATGGTTACTTTGACTTTCTTCTTCATCGGGCCTGTCCCTATGGTAGGTATCTGCTTTTTCTTTTCTCCCTCTCCTCATTAACAAAAGAAAACATAACTAAGCTATGTGTTACTACACGCAGATCTATATACTTTTTTTATTTCATTTGACAACGATGCATAAATGAGATCCTAGTACGCCTGATTATCTGTCAGAAATAAACATTAGGCTGATCATAAATTTCGAAGAGTTAAGATTAAAAAAAAATTTTTTTTTCAGTAATTATAAATTCACTAAAGTTTAATAATTGATGATGTCGCTACTTTGCCTATATGCAGTTAAGAATTTGCAAAAAAACATACCATGGCTTGTTGTGTTGGAAATTAAAAAAAAAGAAATTTAAGAAACATTGATAAATCACGGTTATGAATATCCGTTGGGCTTTGTCAAACATGACTTCTGTTCTACTAGGTGCAATTTAATATGAGATAATTCATGTTAGCACTGACAAATCTTTGATATTTCCTATGGTTTCATTTATTATTTGTCAAAGCTATAAACTATTGATTGTTTTATGATCTCAATCTTTTCAAATAGATAACATCGCTTGAAATAAAGCTAAATAAATATATCTAGAATCATTGAAATTGGTTAAACGAATAACTAATTTTCTTTCAACCGAATTTAGAAATACGCCAGATTGCAGATTGAAAATTCTCAATAGAATTTTTTCTTCGTCATGTCAAAATCGTTTCCCATTCATTATCTTGAAAATAAACCAGACTGTTCTAGAACGATAACTCTTCGTATTCATCTATCACATCATTCCAACACAATATCATTTTTCATGCAACAGATCGTAAAACTAGTCGTGCTGATCATATTGCGCATCTACATATAAAGGATGGCATACATGTACACCTATTGGTCCTTTGTTATTTTAATCTCGGGAGAGGTTTCATAAGTAGGAAAAGCTTTTGGCCCTCTACACCAATTTTGGACGTAGGATTTTTATGCTTTGGGACCGATCGTAATGGTCGAACTTGTTGGTTTCAATCCCTTGGCTAAATCCACCGCAATCACAACAAACTTTTTTTCTCATTTTATTCAATTTTCTGATTTTTCGATTAGGCTATAATTTTCATTGAAGATTGCAAAAATAGATACAAGAGGATATACGCATAGAAGCACTAAACAAGAAATCTTTTACTTCCTTATTTTCTATCAAACAAACAATTAACATTTACAATTGGAAGTTGTTTGGTTTTAACAAGTTAATTATAGTTCTTGACAATGAGACCTGCTGTCGAAGTTTCGAGTATTACTGATATACGTCCGGTAGTCTACTACCAATAGATTCAGGAAAATATCCTCATAACTTGATCGCAGTGACAATCAATTAAAATATTCCACATGTTTAACTACATTAGAATCGATAAAAGTTTAATCTTTCAACAAAATCAGAGTTTTTCCGTTCAATTCACGTGATTACTAGCAGCGACATCTATCACATATATTTATATATAGATTAATGTTCTTTTTTTTTATTAAACTGAAATCATAATAAGTCATAGAATATTTAAAAATAAATATGAATTTTTGATAATATTACATAAGTTGAATTTTATGGCCTATCGAAAACTACTGACCAATGGCAGCGTCTTTAAAATTGACGGTTGTAGTGTATTTGTTTATTATTTTCACACATGATCATTATCATTTTTGATTTCCTTAGTCGAACTTTTTTATTCATGCGCTTGCAAGACTTAAGCTCAAGACAAGCGCTTCACTGTTTGCATGAGTTACAGAAAAAAATGCAACTATAATTTTTTATTAAAAGTTGAGTTATGGTGAATGTAAAATTGAAAAAAAAGTTGAAAAAGTTCTTTAATAATAGAAACGCTTAGATAAAAATTCAAGCGCATGAACAAAAAGTTTAAGAACTTGAGCTCACCGAAAGAGTTCATGTCTTGCCTCAAGATGTGTCCATAGTTCTTGAGTTTCTTGATCAAGAAAGTCAAGAATTGCATGCGCTTGCAAAAAAAGTTCGCCTAGGGAATTATTTGTTTGAACAAAATTAATTTTTTTCTTTTAATTTCAGTTCACCATGTTGATTCGACTCTTTATAATAAATATTTTTCTATGTATTATTGTTCAATGTGCATCGATAAACACTCTAAAAGAAAAACCTTCGTCTAGTTTTACATTTCCGAAACAATATTCAAACGATTATGATGGAAATTTAAGCATCGAAGGTAGTGGTAACATTGCTAATCTCGACGAATATCCTGACGAAGATGATAATGATGATGATTTATCAAAACTAACTTCAACTACGATATCTACTCGAATCACAACAGCGAAACGTCTTATACCGAAACTTGTTGAACAAAAAAAGAAAACTGAATCTATCGAAAAACTCGATGATATCGATTCAAATGAATTCGACGATGATTATAAAGAAGATCTCGAAGATGACACTGTTTACAATGAAGTAACAACAAAAGTTACAAGTACTGGACCATCAACAACGAATGCATTAGATGTTACTCGTCGTCCGGCATCGATTCGCGGATTTCTAAGTTTTCTATCACGTCCACCCATTGCTGCTGGTATTCTTGGCGGTTCGTATTTCATTAAAAAACGATCTTCCTTTTTTGTTTCATAAATATTTTCATTTCTCCAGGTTTAGCTATTGGAATTGTGACATCAGTTATTCTTCTTATTTGTATAATACTACATTTTCAAAAGCGTGAACGAACACATTCATCATTCACAACAGGTCTTCTCTATCCAAATCAATATGGCTACACAAAAACTCCACAGGAATTCTATGCCTAAAATAGTTCAGATAATTGGTTTCTTTTTTGATGTATTTTGCTTTGTATTTCTCTTTTTTACAAACGCTCAAATTTTTGTTTTGTTTGTATGCACTCTCATGTATCTCAGATGAACAAACTAGATGTCTCAGGTTTCATTGTATAACAATGTAGAATATATATTATTACGAATAAAAATGAAAACGAAAAGCAAAGATTATTTTTTTAATTTTTATTCAGAAGAAAATCTAAGCATTCCTATGAATTTTCGATGGCCTCGAATTACCTTCTCGTATCTATTGAATGTTTATTTGAAGATAGGAGAACGATAAATATATTTATTGTCATAACTAGATATTATAGTAACACGCTGAATTACAATGTTTAGTCTCTTCGAGGTCTATGTTATTACCTTTAATTGATGATAAATATCGAACTTGATTATTCCTTCAAGGCAAGTCTAACTCGACGTTTATTTTGATAGACAGAATAGAATTACTTAATAACATCGATATTCTAATTTACCTATTGTTCTAGTTTAACCTTGGATAAGTCATCTGATCGCTGCTGTGATAGCTAAACTTTTCTGTTATATAACACATGTGTATCCTTGGTAATACATTCTGAAAGTGGCCTTGGCTTTTAATCTATAATAAAGATAATAATTAAATTCGCTGAACAAGTTTCTTTGAACTTTTAGATAATGAGTCAAAGAACATCAAGAAAATTTCTTTCAACAAATGAAAATATTCTTTATGAATTGAATGATTATGATCGACAACGAACACCAGAAATCCTGATTGATGATGATCGTATTCAATGTGTTCCCGTTGATCCTATAGCCAAAAGTCTTTCGGTAAAAACAAGAGAAGAAATTAAAAAGCCATTAATTTTAATGTTTTCAATTTTAGTGTCCTATTTGTCTCGATTTATTCAATCGAACAATGGTAACAACCGCATGTTTACATCGTTTTTGTGCTGATTGTATTCATCGTTGGCTTAAATCTGACAATAAAGTTTGTCCGACATGTCGAAAAACACTTAAATCAAAGCGATAGTAAGTGTATCAAAGCAACACGAAACAAGTGACCAATACTTAATGGATTTCACTTTGGTTCTTTTTTTTTCTCTATATTTAGTCTTCGATCGGACAGTCGTACTGATCAATTAGTTGATCTTGTTAAAAAACAACAAGCAAAAACAAATGAACTGGCAGAAATGTATCGCAAACAACAACATGATTGATGTGTCCCTTTTTTTTTATATGTTTCTCCTTTTTTTCTATGCTTAATCAATAAAATATGAACTATGTACATAGAAGAAAAAAAATTGTAAGAGGTCAACGATACATCAGCTGGTCTGCGTTCTTGCTTGCCCGCATTCCTGATTGACTCTCTTCTCATGTCGCTTGCTTATTCAGATAGAGAGAAAGAAAAAAGAAAAAGAAAGAAAGAAAGAAAGAAAAAAAATAGACGAAATCTTGCCGTTGTGTGACAAGAGTAGACAGAATACATGTGTCATTGGATTGCTTCTGCTGCCATGAGTCTGATGGTATTCAGTACATTGTCTATTGGAAAGACTCGACTTAATTATGCAGATAGAAACTGTTCATCATCATCCACGCATAGTATACATAGATTCTATTTCTCCTTCATTCTATAGTGTTGCGACGAGCAAGAAACTATGATGTAATCGAAATGTTTGTAATACAGTTGTGTTTAGTAAGCTTTCTCTACGTCCTCTTTACATTTGCACACTCTACAATAGTTGATCATAGAAGAGAAAAGAGAAAGTGAAGATAAATATATATATATATATATATAAGTAGGAAAAAGAAAAAAAAGAAGAGGCAAGCCAAGCATTTATTCTCATTTTTATGAAACTCAACATACAGTAATTCATTCGGGGGTAAGTTTTTTTACTTGTCGATGATCCTTGACTTGTTAAAAAGAAAAATAGAAACAGTTCTATTTCTAAGATGAAAACACTAGACAGGTGCTGATGGTGATGGCCTTGCCAATGATAAAACAAAGAGAATAAAAGGAATGCTATTAAGTTATGCTTACGCTTGAGGGTGAACTTTTCATCTCGCATAATTACCATAGTTACACCTACATATTCTACGCATGTATGTGCTCATGACGATCTAATTATAAATATTTTCTTTATCTCTTCACATCTCACGACAAAATTTGATCAGGATCATTTATATGTTTTAGATTAATATGCGCAATCATAATGCAACTTGGCTAATAAAAAATAAAACTATGCCAGGAGAATATTGTCATTTAAGTTTACCTGACGATTATAGTTTAAATTGGTTTATTGTACATGCATCACTTGCTTTCGTTGGATTATTCTATGCACTACTTGGTAAATATTTTAGAACGAAACAAAAGCAAAACTAAAAAAAAATCATTTTTTCTTAGGTTATCGTTGGTGGCGATTTACGATGTTCGTAACATCGTTCAGTCTTGGATCTCTTCTGCTATTTATTATCTTATCAACGCAACCAACAATGACTGAATCGCAATTAATTGGTGTATCATGTTCAATTGCAACATTATTTGGACTAATTGGTGCACTTTTACAATATGTTGGTTTATTTATTAATGGTTTCTGTTTTGGCTTAATTATATCGATAACAACGTTTACGATATTAGACATGAAAAATTATGCGAATGGTGTTTCAACTTCATTTTGGCTACCTATTGGTCTTATTTTATTATTAGGCTTAATATGTGCTATAATAACATTAAAATTTCAAAAGACAATGTTAATTGTAACATCGTCTTGTTTAGCAGGTGTATGTCATACACTTGTTTTAGATTATTTTCTTCAATCATCTGTTTTATTTGATTTTGTTCGTAAACGTTTACTGTTTGAATCGACGGCAATGTTGTGTATTCGTCATTGGCTTATTGCTTTGATTTTACCTATAGTTTTATTATTGGGAATTTTTATTCAATTTACATGTACAGGAAAAAATTACGATCATAGAGATTCATGGCAGAAAGGTAATGAAGCCATAGACTCAAGTATTTCGAATATAGATAAGACCTAGTCAAGAGAACAAAACTTCAGTATGTCATAGTCTAACGATTGAATTGAGACTCATGAGAATTACTAATTCGGAACGGAAATGTCAATTTATCAACTTGATGAAGGTCCTTTTTTTGTAGTACAGACTAGAAAAGGTACTTAGACTAAGACCTTTTATTCTCAACACAATGAATCGATAGAAGAACATGACCAATTTATTGTCTATGCTCAAATAGAACTTAAGTCGAATGTGAAGTCTATCTCGCCTTGATGCTAGTCAATATTTGCAGTTTATGAATGAAAAAAGAAATAATCTTTTGTGTATATGTCTATTGACTTTTTGATCATTTATTATTTTATATCCTTTTATTTTGAGCTTGAGGCACATTTTTACACGCAACGTTTATTGCTGGCTTCCTTCATCACATGTCAACATAAGAATGCGACTGGCTTGCTGATGAATGCATATTTGCTGTTATATTCCTTCTCTTTTTTTTCTTGTAAGATTGAGTGCTTTATGAACACTTGAAAATAGCGCACGACACATGTCTGAATAGTTCATTAGAGCTCAATATCGATTTTCATTGTTTATTTTGCTCGAAGAGAATTTCATCTGAGTATGTTTAATCAATTGTTGAAGATAAATTTCGTTAGAGACGCATTTCTTTTTGTTTCATGCAAAGAGCATTGACCTTGAACTCGTGTGTAAGCAAATAATCTATGAGCAAATAACCGTGTACATTTATCTTTAGTACAAATGTGTACATGTAGTGCACATTATATTGGTTATCATGAGTGCATACAGTAGCTTGGGAAATATAAGTTAACCAATCCATTGTTGATAGCAGAATCAAACTGCATTCAATTAATATCGTTATAATCAAATTAATATAAAGACAAATAAATAAATAAATAAACAAACAAACTACATCGTCATGTCTCGACGTTCATAATTAATAAATAAACTTTTTTCTCTTTATGTGTATACATTTCTATCATGCGGTTAATTAGAGTGTCAGGAAGGCTAATGGAATTGTCTATGCGTGTTGAACACAATAGAGCATTTCCTTGCTGTGTGTACACATGTATTGAAGAAGCATATCTATTGTTTTATATTTTAGCTATTAGTGCCGGGAAGAAACGATATAAAACAGCTAATTTTAAAAAAATTCGACACCATTATAATCAAGACACACTCCGTGAACATATTATTCCTGATGAAAGTAATCGTTTTCGTTATTTCTATCATATACGACGAGCCAATGGCGATGCACTATCATCGGTAAGTTCAAGACTTATCGAAGGAATTTTCTTTTTTGTACTGTATTAGTGATTATATCAAATGGCATATCTTGTTTGCCGTGTCTATCAAATATCATAGCTATCATAACGAATAGATACATGAGAATTTGTCCTTAATGTCGAGGACTCATACCAATGCACATCAGTCACAGCCGGGCAACTTATCTATTAATACACATGAACTAGAGCATATACATATAGAGAAGTTGTCAACGCAAGCATAGGTTATATTTATCTCAATCATTAGTCTCTTTCAAAGAGATCAGGTCAAGGATAGAATTCTCTTATGTAAATAATTCGCAGTAAGAAAAAAAAGAATGAACGATGAAATCGAATCTATATGCTTTGCAGACATGGTGAGGATGAATATTGTTCATTGATGCAAGATGTAAGAGTAAATAGCCCAGCAGGTGTTTAAATATGCATACATGTGATATAACAGATGGATGCATTCATACAAATAATTTTCATTTTCTATTATAGGATTTCATACAAAATATGCGTCAACAAAATTCCGCTACAGTTCATTTAACTGCTAATAATAACAGTAATAACAATAATAATAATGCTAGTCAACCTGTTGTATCATCTACTGATGCGACAACAACAATAACAACAACAGTAGGACCAAAACGAAAGGATACAGACAGTACTACAACGACATTAACTCATTTAATGTGATGAAAATATCAATTTGATATTCTTGAAATTCACTCTTAAATATCGATATAATGTACTGTTGCATTTTTCTTCTTCTTCGTCCCTTGTAATTATATTGGCCCTTCTGTAATATTCAGGAATTGTTTTTTATTTTACTATAATATCAATATTTGACATAATAAATAAAATCTACGTGTATACGTATGTATAAATTCGTATAGAATAAAAAAATATGTTAAATAGAATTGGTATGAACTGAAAGATTAAAATGTAAAACACAATGTAGCGACTGTTAATAATCACAAGCACATGTTGTTTTTTTCTTCACCATTCTTCTACTTAATCCTTTACAAATGTAATCAAGACGAGATTTATATATCATAACGAAAGGTTATTGATGTAAGACCTAAAAAAAAAATAGTAAAATCAAAAATATTTGCCACAATCTACCGCAAGAACAAAATGGTCTTGATGCTAACAGAAATTCAATCCATGGCAGATCTAGAGGCAAGAATGCTAATATTTTCGCACTGTCTTTTATTTCCTAGGCTTTTAGGTGTTCATCATAGTTTGAAATAAATAACAACCTATTCTAATATTGTCAGATTGCATTTGAAACATGACTGTAAATATGTGAAATTGTTTTTTTCGTCCATACTTCGTCATGCGTGATATTGAGTTATTTATTTTCATGCATACAGCTATATGAAACAGCGCTGTAAACTTATATTCGACGACACAAAAGCATTCGTTCGTTGCGAACAGCGTCTGAAGAAAAAATAGTACATAGATTCAGTGAAGCGTAACTATTCCGGCAATCGCAAGAGCAAAAAAAAACAAACTAATTATTCAATATATAACATTTTTCAGGTAACACTATGTTTGTATAAAAATCGACAATGAAGAGTTTATTATTGCTGGTTTTAATTTCAATATTAACAGTAATAAATGGCGTTTATAATCCAATACCGATTGGATCGGTTGTCATTTCAACTACACGTAACATATTTATTATGATACCAACGGAATATGGTGGTAATGATAAATTAAGTAATATATTTACAGCATCGGCAAACATGTCTATTATAAATACTATATTTAATCCAACACTGCGTGATCTTTATATTCTTTTTACCAATGTAACGAATGGTACTGCTTATATAGGTCGATTGATGTCCCGCGAACAGCTTGATTCGACTATCTATCAGCTTTCAATTTCATTTGATCTTTCAACTATAAATAATCTGACTTCGTTTTCGTCGGATTATGTTAATAGACGCGGTTTTCTTACGGATCAAACCGGAAGTACAAAATTATTTTCTATGAGTGGCCTCATGGACATTTTAATACAGATACCACCAAATATTTCACTTCCGATACGTTCGGTAAATTATGCTACTGCTGTAAATCGACTATTTATTGTAACTGATACAACTGTCTATTCGTGTGCAAATTTAGATCAAAATCGGCTTCAATGTTGTCAAGCATCGTCACAAGCAAATCAACCACGTGCAATAGCATTCGATCAAGTGACAGGTGCTTTTAACGTTTATATTAGTGATTTAAACAAAGGAGTGCATCAAGTTATTCTTGATAATAATGGATGCCCAATAGCTGTTAATTTAATAAATGAACTTGGAACTTACAGTTATCTTCAGTTGGCTGTTGACCGGGATTTATATTTTATAGCTGCAAGTCAACAGCATCAAAATGATAATTCTCTTTTACTTGTTGCTAATGAAACAGCCCCATCAAGACCGATTAGCGTTGGGTTTCCGATTGTTGCACTACATGTTTCTTATCCAAGTATGGCGTCAAGATCGAGTGGCGTAGAAACTTGTTTTCATGGTATAACCTACGCGAATTATCGTATTGCTGTTATACTTGCAGCTATATTCGGCACAATAATGGGCATTTTTATCTGTTTTAATGCTTTGTTCTGTGTTGACTTCTTCATGACCAAGAGTATTATACGTACTTTGAAAAAACAAATACCACATAATTTATTGGAAGATCGATGGAATAAATTGGTCGAAGAAAAATATGCTAAAATAGCTCTTGAAAGTAAATTTAAATAGGAAAAATAGATAAGTATCGACTAAGATAAATTGTTTTTGTTTTTTTAGAACACCGAGACGCCTCAAATCCAGCACCAATACGTAAATCATCGGTATTTGATCAAAAATCGCCAGCGATTATTCCTGCTAGTAGCGGTGTAACTAGTCAAGTAAGGGAACGAAGTACTACTGGTGATGGCGCTAATTTGCTTGATGGTACAAAGTCAACACTATCTGCATATTTGAGACGTAAAAGTGACACTTATTTCAATCGCCGTCGAAGTGACGATTATCAACGTCAACAGGATCCATCACGATTCGAGTTCAGTGCATCACAGCACCATCCTCAACGATCTCAAATAACATCTAATCAAAATTACATTGAACCGGTCATCGAAGAAACGTTCACTCAACACGGACTTCCAAAAAATCTCAGTGGTGTAGAATTAATAAAATACGATGAAGATTTTCTATAAAAAAAAGAAAAGAAAAAGACGAACTGAACTAATGGATTAAATAAACAATATCCTTTTCATTTATTTTCTCTATCTTTTTCTTTCAGCTTTTATTTATTCGAAAAGTAATATAAATAGTTTGCAACAAATTTATGATACTCAGTGTAAAATCATCGTCGTACTTAAATTAATTTAATGAGTAAAATGAAAATAATGGTTGGAGAATGCTTCGAACTAGAGGCAGGGCCAGAAAACAAGCGGTGGTACTGACAAGAGTAAGAGCCCGAGGCGGTGGGGTACAGCTTTAGTAAGGAAATAAAAACACGCGTAGAATCGCCGGTGCCAAAAGAAAAACTTCTCCAAAATTAATTTTTCGTTTTAGTTCATCTAATTTTGTGAGCCAAGCATTTTCAGTACTTATCAAAAACATATGTAAATAATCTGAGTACCCAAACTATTTTTAGAATATTATGAGTGACCATGCAACATATAGTCCCATTCGTCAAAGTGATTTATGCGTCGGCGAACTTTGCTTATTGGTTTTAAGTAAAATTTGAACTTCATAAGAAAAGGCTTAAGCGTAACCTTGATGGGCTCTCACATGTAACCAGACATTAGTTCTTTTTTGTGTTTTTCTATGACTATTTACTTGTAACATATGAAATCGATCATTATGCAAGACTCGTATTTACCTGTAATAACATTATAGAGATACTTTGGTTTCATAACCAGCAAGTATTGATCTACAATTGCGCAGTTTAAAGAAACATCTATTTTTTTTCAAAAAAGATCAAATGATTCAGATTTTATATACATAATTATTAAGCCGCAAGCAAACCTTCGCGAAACGATGCACTGCTGGTGCATGCTATTATACATTGTTATGTCGCGCACAATCAATCTCATCGATTTTGTTTGTATACGCGAACAAAAATAAATCGAGTTTTTCTATGTGCGTAGTATTGTTTACTGAGCAATGAAATTTTGCAGTTGATTCATTCGTATCTTTCGAATTTATTGTCTACCGTATTGAAGATATTTTGATTTTTATCTGTTTTGTTCATTTCGTCATAGAAATCAGAAGAAAAAGCGTGTGTACCTGGTATACCGAAAGTTGGTTACTACACATTTAGCTTGAAACTATAGACCAACATCAAGGGTTATTTGTTGTATTATTGACGCGCCATTTCGAATAAAAGCGTTTTGTGAAAGACGAATTTCAATTTTGTTTCGCATGTTGCTTCATGTCGAGTTTTTAATGCAACCAACAATGAAAATTTCGTTTATTTTCTATAATTTCATGAGTGGATTTTTTGTTGACATTCAGAAGTGTAAGAATAAGAGAAACGAGATGTATGTGATAATTTTCTTTTTGGTCGCGTCTTTTTGCGTTCTATTGTCTTTAATATGTATTTTTTGCGAAGCCGTCGAGAGTAACGACGACATTTCAGCGTGTAAAAGCCTGACGCTTTCTTTTTCTATTGCTGACTCAATGAAACAATATTCGTTCTATATTCAGATTTTAATGTTGACTGGCGAAAGTAGTTTTTTTTTCGCTCTTCTCTGTTCGATTGATTGACTAGCGAATGCTACGATAGATGAAGTCGGCTTCATTTTGGCCTCGGTCTTTCCCTCGTATACTTGCAGCAGCTTGTCGACTAGAAACTGCTTTCATTATGATCAACAGCTGGGACGTTCGATCTTCCCTAATTGCTTCTTTTCATTTGCTATTTTACTTCGATTATTTTCTTATTCGATACCCGAAAACGTTTTTTTCTAGATCATTTTTATTATGATATAAATTGACTATTAATGAGTATGGCAAATCAATCTGATGTATTAGCAGCGATTCAAGCTAATCTACAGCAAGCAATTCAACGTAACAGGCCGCCCGAACCAGCAAAGGTACTGTCGGCAGCAGTTTATTTTTCTTTCATTCTTCGAACGCAAAAATCTAATTCTAGACGCTGAAGTTCGAACTCGATGGTCAAGTGCGAGCGTGTTGTTTGCCAAAGCCAATTACGTATTCCGACCTATTGAAGTGTATTCAAAATTTATTTGGAAAACGTACACTATCATCGATCGAACTTATTCGATGTTTATTCTCTCGCGACGATGCATTACGTTTGCCGATTACAAACGACGAAGATTTAAATAAAGTACTTGCCATATCGGATGCCAATGGATCGAACAAACTCAATTTTTTTTTAACACGAAAAAAAACTCACGCAATATCTCGAGTAATATCAGTTAATAATCATGATGATTCTGGTTCGATATCTGACGATGGACAAACTCTGGACAATGATGATACTAGTCTTGATTCACCACCACCCGGCACGATTGCACCACAAAAACGCCGAACAAAAGTAAACACAAATAATCAAAAGGCCATATCCAAAGATGGAGGACTTTTCATTCCGGAAACAGTGAGTTTATTTTTGCATTTTTTCCTAAATGATATTTTCGTTTCTTCTTAGAATGATGATACATATTCGAGTGGTGGCTCGTCTGTTGCTAGTCGAGATTCGAGTGGAAGTGAGCATAGTTCAAGAAGACGTTTACGCAGTAAATGTTCTATTTTATTCCTGTTTAATATACTCTGTTTTTTTCTTCTTCTTTCCATAGCTACGTCTTTTGCCCGACTTTCAGCATCGTCATCTGCTGGCAGTAGTGGCAGCGGAGTAAATACAAGCAGCAGTTCATCTCAAGCTAATTCCCTTGAATCTCTACGTAGTCAGTGTTCTTGTTCTAGTCATCAATATAAAAGTAAATAGATTATATCGAAAGCAAATTTTTATTTAACAACATTTTTCAGCACCGAGAACACCTACCAATTGGAAATTAGGACGACAGTTAGGACAAGGTAAGAAAATCACTATTCACAACTTTTGTTTTGATCAATGTCAGTACCCATGAAGTTTGCTTGCTATAAGTCATGTGCACCTTGTTCCCTTAGCAACGCAAAAGTTTCATGTTTGCTAAAATAACTCGTTTGATACCAGTTGTTCGATAATATATTCGACTAATGATTTAAAAATACGCCATTACATCTAAAATATATAGGTTTTCTTTGATTTCTAGGTGCTTTTGGTAAAGTTTATCTTTGCTACGATGTTGACACTGGCAGCGAATTGGCGATTAAACAAATATCTATTCGTGGACTTAACTCTGAAACAACACAAGTATGTGATTCTATTTTTACCATTGAGACAAGCAAAAATACCGCTTTCGTCTTACGTTTATTTGCGTAGGAAGTCAAAATTTTAGAATGTGAAATTAACATTTTCAAGCAACTTGATCATGAACGTATCGTTCGATACCATGGTGCATTACGGACGGATGAGTTCTTACAAATATTTATGGAATTCATGGCCGGTGGATCTGTACGAGAACAAATTTTAAATTATGGTGCATTAACTGAACAATTAACAAAGAAATATACCAGACAGATACTCGAAGGACTTGTTTATCTGCATGAAAATCACTTTGTTCATCGGGATATTAAATGTAACCTATCGTTTTCCCTTAAGAATGTCCTAGATAATGTTTTCGTTTTGTTTTCAGGTGCGAATATTTTGCGGGATGTCTCGGGTAATATAAAACTAAGTGATTTTGGCACGTCGAGACGACTAATTGCTATAACCAATCAAAATCAACCAGATTCTGGAACTATTGGTAGGATTTAATTTTTTATTTAAAATATAAGTTGAGTATAAATTCTTGTCGCTGATGAGCGAACTGTAGAGAGTGGTGAAGTTTTCAGCAGCGCTTGTAGATTTGTCAATCTAATGCGAAAAATCGATTTTGATTTAATTCTTTTTACAGGTACAGCTCATTGGACAGCGCCAGAAATAATCCGAGGAAGTATTTTTGGACGTAAAGCTGATATTTGGTAAGAAATTATAATTAGAAGAAAAACAAACTTATACATTTATCATTTATTTCCAGGAGTCTCGGTTGTACAATAGTTGAAAGTAAGTCACAAACGTTATTTACTTCGATGGAATTCTATATTGAGAATTTTTCAGTGTTAACTACGGGTCCTCCGTGGCAAAATCTACAACCTATTGCAGCTATATTTCATATAGCGACTTGTGAGAAGCCTGAGTAAGTGGAATAATTGTAGAAAATCTATCATTTATATTAATTCCTGACTGCTAGATACAAACTGCCAAGCAATGTATCGTCTTTAGCCAAAGAATTCATCGATATGTGTCTAACAAAAGATTACAATCAACGACCAACAGCCGTAGATCTCATACATCATTCATTCTTGGATAATCCTCAGTTTCCATCCTCATGCTCACCATGAACAACAAAAGATTTAAAGAATAAAATTTTGTTGATTTTTATTTTTTTATTTTCTAAGCAATCTCATTACTAAATGTTCTTAGTTTTTGTTGTATTTCTCATTTCTCATCATTTTTGTCAGCATGTATAAACTATTAGTTTCGTTTGACATGGAAAACAAGAAATTACTGAATGTATATACAAATGTGAATTTCCATGATAGTCGATGAATTACTCTTCTGTCATATAAATAAATTTATTCAAATTGATTCGATATGTTAAAACCAACAGATATTCTTCGAGAATCGTTTTGTTTATTGAATTAGTCGACTGACGATACTTTCGTAGATCATCTATCTTGAGCGATACTCTAATTGATATGTTTATTTACTTACAAATGTCAAGTCTGTAGTTATGGGTCAAGAAAGAAGAAGAGAAAATATATCCAGAGATCGCTTCGAATAGAAAATTTTAAATATCTTCTGGTGTAAATCTGAGAAAAGTTTGATATTCTAGTTTCGATAGGATTTAATAACAATTGATTAGCCTTTTTTTTATTAGATCTAAGAGAATTTTATTCCATTATCAAACACATTCATTATTACAAGTAAAAAAAGCAGAATAATATTTAATTTCATTCTCGTATTTTTTGTTACTGAAAAAAAACACAGATAATTCTCACAATAAAAAGAAAAAGTCTCTGAGACAAATGCAATGGCAAGCAACGATTAGAAAACAAAATCGAATGTTATATGGAAAACGACAATCACACGCATTAAAATCAGATCTCATGTATATAAAAACAAAAAACTTGGCGTAGTATTCATGAAAAAACAGATTTCATTGTGCTCCGTTTAGACTGTCCTCGGCATCCAGGCCACGTGTGATGTTACTGAAATCAAACGGTTGGCCTGTATAACGACAAAAAACATCAAGAATATCAAGGCAGGTCGTTTCAAAATGTGATGTTGCATCGTATGAACTTGAGATAAACAGCTGACAAAAACAAAACAACAAAAAATATTTTTATCAGAGAAAAATAATTCATTTTACTTTGCTGGCTGTTCCATCTTCTATTGGCTCATGTAGATCGGTAACAGTAACAAATTTTTGATATATCGGCTCCAATAAAGCGAGACCAGGTTTTATTTCTTCTTCGGGATTATTTGTTTCAACGGTTGTACTAACTAATGCAACATACCAGTCCTTCGGGGTCACCATAGTTGTTTGACCCATACAGCAAACATAAATATCTACAATCGAAAATGAATTTTATTCGCCTAGTCTGAATCTTTAGCTTTACCATTATGTCGTTGAACTTGTTTTTGAGGTATTATAATTTGGCATGAAGCCGGTTTTGTGTCGCCTCGAACTTTAACAGGATGTCGCAATAGACAAATAGCTCGAATAACTCGGCCGACTTTTTTTACTTTATCCGGCACATACGATGGATCACAGATAACAGCTTTACAACGTGCTGTCTGATCGCCGGATCGAACACCAATAACAACACCATTCTCAAATACAATTTCATCGACTGGCTTATCCAGCATATACGTTCCGCCGTAAATAGCACTCAGTCTAAATACGATAATTTACTTTTGTCTGCATGAATTTCCCGTTAAAAGCCTACCGTGCGAAAGCTTGTGGTAACTCCCCTAGACCGTAGAGTGGATATAGATATGGTGATTTACCATAACGTGCTAACGATGCCAAATAGAGTTGAATCCTTTTGATTGATTCTAGAGCAGGTTTTTCCAAATAACTAAAACAAAAAATAAAAAATAGTGGCAAATTGCTATCGACTTACTCATCATCACTGTGCAGTGCTAAAGTGTGACCAGTAAAATCCATTGTATCTTGACTGAGATCATATTTTTTAAATGCATCAACCATACGTGTATTTGGCGGAATGTCGTTCTGTGTTTTAGGATTTTTTTCATCGTAATCTTTAACCCAATTGAGCAAATTACCGAAACGTCGTTTTTCAAAAAGACCCATTAATGCTGCAGAAAATTAAATCATAACAATAACGATAAGATCATCATTTGCCTTACGTGATTTAAGAGCTTCGGATTGATCTGCTGGTACTTTTTCCGCAGTTCCATTCTTATACACATAACTACCTTCAATACATTTGAATTCAAGATAACGAGTTACACCCGTATGAATTAATAACTTAACCAAGAGACCTTTTAAAATAAAATCCGATAGAATTAAAACGAAGCATTTCTTTTTTGAATATCTTTTTACCGTCAGCCATAAGAAATTTTGGAATCAAATCAACATTCCAATCACGTCCACGTCCTGTATCAGATGGTGGTGATGGGAAATTAAATTTTGAATAAAGCTAAAAAATGATACTGACAATAAATACTCGTTTTAAATCGAATCGTCTATTTTACTTCTTCCAAAGGTGTCATGGAGGCAGATTCACCACCATAGTATTTATTTCTATCCATATGTAAAATTTTCTTTCCAGCAACACCAAGCAAACCGGCTAGAACACATTCCTATTATAATTAAGCAACGAATCGTTGATTTTTTCTGTTTGTGTCGCTATTTTCTCTATACCTTTAAACCTGTTCCCAATAAGATCACATCATATTCTTCATCCATAATTAGATGCTTCTGTTGCGAAAATAAACTTATTGATCTGAAAAGTGTAATAATTTCAATACGAAAAAGAAAGCAAGCAGTTGACACGCGTACAACTTCAAAGACGTGACAACAACGAGTCGCCGATGATTCAATATGCAACATTAATCTCGAAACCAATAGCGACCTACTGCATCATATTTTAGCACATTTGATTGAAGAAGGACTGATCGATGAAATGTTCTGTTCAGAATTGAGTTTCCATTTCCATTGGTAAATTGTGTCTAACAATCAGCGACATCTTTGAATACCGACTGTAAAATCGTTATTTCTGTAATAATAAAAATGATGAAATTAGTTTTCATGTAAAGATTTTTATCATTGAAAATATTTTTTATCCGTTAATTTGTCGCTACTATCAATGATAACAACAATAACCTTTCTTTGCGGTTTACATTCTTATTTTCAGATAACTCCAGTTATTTTTACATATCATGTCAAAACGAAAGGTAAATGTTCTATCAGACGTAATATTCTATTATTCATATATATTTTTTTTTTGTTTCTATCAAGAAAAATGATCCTACTCCTGATAAGGAAGAAGATGACGAGGACCAACCAGTACAAGATAAACGTCGTCCAGAAAAACAACAACAGGTAATATAATAATCACTTCTCTTAAAATCTTGATCTTTTAATTATTTAGAAAGTTTATGATTTTCATAAAAAAACAATTGAAGTTTATCCGGAACGTTTACGTGAATTAAATCGGCAGTTTCTCGCATCTCTATCCACGCAAATAACCACCGAACCATACAGTGTTCTTGTTGGCAATTGTCTTGATTATGTTCGACAGTATTTTAATTATGAAGAAGATTTACTCAAATATTCACCATGGCTTGCGTCAAGACTTAAACAATCTCGTTCAGGTTAATTCAAAATTCTAATTGTTATAGAAAACAAAAAAGAGAATTTTTAATTTTTTAGATATTACAAAATCTTTAACAGAAACAATTGATATCTATGAAGCACTTGCACGCAATGATTTCGATTGTATTTTGGATAAAACGAATATTGAAACATCATCAGCAGATGATTCTGTAGTGAACAAAACTAATAGTTATACACCACTAAGTACGCCACCAATACAAAATCGTCCATCTGCTCCTCTTCCTGCTGTTTCAGCAGCAGTAACAACATCAGCTGCAAGTTCACCACTGTCATTGTTCAGTTTCACAATGCCAGCAGCCACTACTACTCCAAGCGTTACTGAATCAACACCAACAACTGGTTTTACTTTTAAGTTAGCGTCATCATCTGTAACACCAGATAAAGCAACGAGCACCTCACCATTTTCTTTTTCATTACCAAATACAGGATTCGGAACGGTAAAATAAAAAATTAATTTTTCTAAAATTTTCAATAATTTATCATTAATTTAGTCCACATTCGGTTCAACAAATTTTTCGGCGACGCCAACTACAGAAAAAACAGCAACAACTAGTTTAACATCGAGAATCAGTTTTGTTCCACCGAAAAGTTTATTTGCACCTCCACCACCAGCAGCTAGTGCAGAAGCAACAGGCGATGATCCAGAGGGTAAAATGAGGACAATCTTCTTTCCAAACAAACACTCTGCTTGTTCTTTTTAGAATCAAGCGAACCACCTGAACCAGAAAAAGTTCAACATGAATCTGATGCTAAATTTACATATAGGTAAACCGGGGAAAATTTATTTGGCTGACAATATGCTTTTCCTCTGTCTTAGATGTCGAATGGGAGTGAATAAAAGTGGTAAATTAGTAAAACGTGGTCCTGTACAAGTTACAGTCAAAGAAATTGGTGAAAAACGTCAAATGATTATTCGATCGGATGATACACTTGGTAATTAAAATACAAAATTCTATAGATTTATTCATTTTTTATTTCGTATATAGGTCGATTATTTTTGAATATCGTATGGTCAAAAAACATTGAAGTAAAAAAAAATTCGACGAAAGATCTCACATTTGTCTGCCAACTCAATCCGGGCATGACAGAAATCAAAGAAGGCGAGTTCGTTATGATACTGCTAAGATTTGACAATGAAACTGAACGCAATGAAGCATGTGAAAATCTTGCCAAAGAACGAGCATAAACTTTTATTACAATCAATAACATTTATCTAAATAGAAAAGACCTTATTGTCTTTTCTCTGTATTTCTTTAGGTTAATTTTCTTTTCTTTTTTTTCTACTTGTTAACAACGTTCAGATCATAGTGTTTGTTTAATCGTGTATTACGTATAGAAAGAAAAAAATATTCACAATTGTTCTTCTGTTCTTCTTTTTTTTGTTAAAGATGTTTGAAAATACTGATTCATCGGATGATAATGATGAAAGTTTATGTAAACAAGTTCTACCGGCACCACATGTCGACGATGATCCCGTAGATATGAACAAAGTGCCAACAACTGGAGAAGAATATTTGAGACAGGTTCGGTACGATGAATGGCCTTTTTCTTTGGGTTTCAAAACAAACCGAAATGAATTGCATGATAATTATCAACTGTAAAACAAATGTTTAACGTTCGCCGATTTCACACACAGAAATATTGTAATCTTCATACATGTTAAAGGATTACGAAGGCATTTTCTTCAAATATCTAGGAACTTTGTCCGCAAGGTAGAAAAAGTTCCCTTAAAACTTCTGCCCTGAGTTATACGCATAATACCATTGTATCTCGGAGATATTCAAACCACAAGTAACACTCGTCTGCCATGAGAACGTTTCCTCCTTTTTTTAGAAGATCGATAACGATGAGCGACGGAAAACAGGTTTTTATTCATTTTACAGTTTGATTAAAAACCAATCCGATTGCTGAAATTCTAAATATCATGCAATTCGTTTCTACCCATTAGCATTTAATCAGTCGTATTGTTTAATTTAGTTTTCAAGCTTCACAACTGCCTACGTTTCAAGCGGCTTCTAAAGCCGATAAAAATCTCGGAACATCAGCGAGTTCGAAAACGCATGCATGGCATAAATTATTTTCCGTATGACTTTGGCTTCACCGAATATCATTAAAAAGAAACACTATTTAATCTTTATAGATGACGACAAATACCAGTTCGAATGTAACAGAAAAACATATCGTTTCAACTGAATGGCAGAATGAACAAAGTCTATCGTTTTCAAATGTTCGGAACGACTATTTTCAGATGCGCGATCGATTACGAGCGCGAACTAAAAAAACTTCAGCCCCAAGATTAAGAACTGCGAATGATTATTGGAAATTTTGTTTCGACGATAACAGTCAATTGTCATTTTTAGAAACGGATGATCAATCAGATACACAACATCCGCTTCCGACAATGGCGAAAATGATTATTTTATCTCAAGTTAGATTTTACATTATTTCCTTCTAGTTTTCTAATTCAACGTTTTTTGTTCAGCCTCAACTGCACCAATTATTACAACATGAGAACGATTGGCTTAAACAAAACGGATGTTCTCTTCATTTAGTATGATCTGTCTATTTATTTTTTTCTTAATCAATCGATATTTTCTTCTAGGCTTTGTATATGTTTGCTACGTTAGCAGCCGTTGACAAACCTATCAGTGAAGATGTGATTTATACTATGCGACAAACCTGTACCGGATGGAAAGAAATACGAACGAAATTATTGGTAGGTAGAGCCGGTGATTTTCGTTGACGATTGTTGAAATATTTTGCTATTCTAGAATTCAACTGATGATGATGATCATTCTGTTGACAGCACATTAATGAAAACCTGTGATCTATTTATTTGTATAATCGGCCGTTACTTTGGGCAATTTGATCTAGCTGATAAAAATGAATAAAAATCGAATTTGAAAAATAAACATTACACTCTTATTTTTTTCGCTCTTGTATAATACATGTTATTATTTCAGATGAAAACCTTAAAATATCTTTTTCATCCGACAACAATATGTCGAATGCAAACATGTATTTTTTCGTCTCAACGTCGGTATTTAGCTACGGAGAAAAGTGTTGAGACTGCACCATCGGAAATAGGCCCATTGGCACCTGAGCTTCAAGTTAATAATCTCACTGGTGATCATCAAAGTAAAACGATTTTTTTTTGTTGGAATTTTAATTATCTTTTTTTTGCTGTAAACAGATGTTATTGAAATTGCTTTCAATCGACCCGAAAGACGTAATGCACTTGGCAAACAACTACTCAACGAGGTAGATAAATTCTCGAGACTAAAACAAACGCAAGTTTTGTTTATTTAGTTGGAGGCAACAATCGATAGTATAAAAGATTATCAAGCTGTTAGATGTATTCTTTTCCGTAGTATGGTTCCAAATGTGTTTTGTTCTGGTAATTTTTTATAAAGAGAAAAATATACGAGTCATTTTCTTTTTCAATAGGTGCTGATTTAAAAGAACGATTGACTATGTCGCAAGAAGACGTAGGCCCATTTGTATCGAAAATTAAAGAAATATTCTCGAAAATCTTTGCTTTACCTGTACCAACAATCGCCGCTCTTGACGGTGAGTGAATTTGAATTGTTTCTGCCATTATAGAAACAATAGCGTCCGGCACATCTCTAATTGTGTATCACTCTGTTTCCTATGACGGAATAAAATATTTCAACTGTGAATTTCTTTTATTCGAATAAGGTTTGGCACTTGGTGGTGGACTTGAATTAGCATTAGCATGTGACATTCGTATAGCCGGTAAGGATCTACATAGTTAGTAAACACTCGAACTATTTGAATTTTACAGCTAACACAGCCAAAGTTGGTTTAACGGAAACAAAACTCGGTATTATTCCTGGCGCTGGTGGTACACAACGTTTACCTCGAATAATTGGCGCATCGAAAGCTAAAGAACTTATTTATACTGGTTTGATTTCGCTCTTAAAAATTTATTTTTAATTGAAAGAAATCTAATTTTGCAGGACGAATTTTGACTGGACAACAAGCCTATGAAATTCTTTTAGTCAATGAAGTTGTTAAACAAAACGAACAATTGAATGCAGCGTATCTACGTTCACTTGAAATAGCTCATGAAATCGTTCAACAGGTGAATTCTTTAGACATAATCATTCATTGTTCTCTAAATATGCATTAAATTCAATTTAGGGTCCATTGGCCGTCCAAATGGCTAAACAAGCCATTAATAAAGGCCTTGAAGTTGATCTGCAAACAGGTCTAGACGTCGAAGAAAGTTGCTATAATACTGTACTAACATCAGAAGATCGTATTGAAGGTTTAAAAGCCTTTCAAGAAAAACGCAAACCTGTTTATAAAGGCGTTTGAACAAACTTTCTTTCTGTATTGTAATTTTTATTTTGTTTTTCTCCCATAAAATCCATTAAAAACAAATGACAATATTTTATCGTGCACATCTCAATCTTTCATGTAGATATATTATGGTTGGATATGATCCGAAGAAAAAAGATTTAACAAATAATCAAATCTTAATTGCGAGTTCGGCATCAAGTGTGATCGCACGTTTCCTTTTACAACCAGTTGATGTGATTAAAATACGTTTTCAAGTAGGTGAAAAAACAAAAAACTATTCGAATTTTTATCAGGCGCCCTATGTATAGCTTCAAGTCGAACCTATACGACATGCCACTGGATCAAAATATCAGACTATATTTCAAACGATTCGATTAATTCATTATGAAGAAGGCACACGGGCTTTTTGGAAAGGCCATTTAGCAGCACAATTTCTTTCAATATCATATAATTCAGCTCAAGTGAGTTTTTGAACGAGTCAAAAATGAATCATTGTTTTGGTTGTCATAGATGTATGCATTCGAACGGCTAACCAAAGAATTGGGCGAAAATTTTCCTAACACAGTATCATCACCGATAATTAAAACATTGACACATTTTTTTATTGGATCAATTGCTGCTAGTGTAGCTGTATGCAGCTGTCAACCAATGGACGTTTTACGAACAAGGTTTGTTGGACAGGGCGAACCAAAGGTTTGTCAAGGATTCTCTTTTTCTTTTTTTTATTCTACTTATTAGTTTAAAAACGTATGTCTATGCCAGTGAAATATAGAACGACTGTTTGGTGTCACATCTTGTTGTTTTGATGTTAGCAGCGGAGAATAATGTACCGTTGCAATAGGAATTGAGTGACTTTCGATCAATGGATAGAACAAAAAGGTGACCTAGACTCATGATGGTGCCCTTATTTTCTTCAAGGATAACTTTTTCTATATTTGATCTGTACGAAAAAGAATTCCATGAATTAACTTTTACTGTGAGTCATTTAGATCTATCACTCTTATCGTCAAGCAATTGGTCTTATCTGGACTCGCGATGGTCTACATGGATTCTATCGTGGTTTGAATCCAGCTATAATTCTTTATGCACCTGTTTCAGCACTTACATTTGGATTCTATGAATTATTCAATCGAGCATGGGACCATTTGCCGCTTGAAAACTTTGGTAAAAATTGTTTTTTTTCCTCGATACCGTTCTTTTATTTAAAGGTAAACAGATTCTATGAAACATGCATTTAATGGTGGTGCTGCTGGTGTCCTAGCGAAATTCGTTGTCTACCCATTTGATTTAATTAAAAAACGACTTGAAGTTGTAAGCTTCGAAGAAGCACGATCGAAATTCGGACAGGTATTGTTCTTGTGATTGCCATTAATTGCAAACAAAAATTTTATTCTAGACACGTGTTTATTCCGGTATGCGTCATTGCTTGTCTGAAATCCTACGAACGGAAGGCTTTAGAGGATTGTACAAAGGTATTGCACCAAGTTTGATCAAAGCTTATCTATCGACTGCTGTTACTTTAAGTATTTACGATGCTATTTGTAATCATTTACGACTGGCACCGTCCGATTAATCGTTCACATTGCATTTATTTGTCTATTTTTAAAATGATCTGAAAAACAATTTTTATTTCGAAATAAACTTAAATAGAAGCTATGAATGTAAAACTAATGGTAATACCGATATCAGACTGATTTAATTCGCACTAAATCTTATTCGCTTAAGAAGCACGATTCGATTTGAGTCAAATTTTTAACTGAGGTATTCAATTTCATATGCACTTCTTTCTATAGAAGTTAAATCATAGTCTGAGCAGCATTCAATGATTATTGGCTGCATTCTTTTACTCTCTCTCTCTCTCTCGATTTGAAAGGGAACGTGTGCATGTGTGTGCGACACTTGGCGACATTGGATCCAGAGGAGAAGAAGAGATGTTCTTTTTCTCTCTTCAATTATTACGCAAGATAAAAGGAAGTATATGCAGAAGAAATGGAAGGTGTCATTTTCCTGTCACAGCTGAGAAACAAAGTTGGTAGCTGTAGGTTATATTTGTTGGCAAGGTTAATTTTATTGGAAGCTGATTTCGTAAGTTGTTTGTTTAATACATTTTAAAATCTTAGACGAGGGGAAAAGTTACTGGAAATATTTCATAACGAACGGATTGACGTCGGAAAGTATGAATTTCCACTTGAATGATTGATGTAGGTTGTGAACAGCTTATACTTGTTTGCCTTCACTCAACAAGTCCATTAAGTTAAAGTGAGTACTTGCATTGTTTGTATAGATTTAAGCGTGTGTAATAGAATTCCGGATAATATTAAACGGCCTTTTCATAGGGATGGATCTAATTTCCTCTCTTCTTTTTTAGTTTATTAATAAAATCTATACAGACAATTATAATCTTTTTCTTTTTCATTACCGACTTTCCTTTGCATAGTAAATGTTAACCTTGACAGCACATCGTTAATATGCACAGAGAATAGTTGCTTTCGTGATTGTTAAATTTTGACAAAGATGAACTGTCAAATGAAGTCATACACGTGACAAATGGGCTTATTAGATTTCAACTGTACGACGCGTCTTAATTGAATGTTAGACGTGAAGTAATCATAATCGTTGTAGAACTTTTCATTACGTCACTGGTCCAACAGATTGTTGAATATTCTATATGAAAAATTGATTATAAACTCGTCCCGTTGAGTTGATGATGCATGATTGTAAGAAGTGCTTTTAGCATTTCCGTTCTCAGTGAGCTCGTATTATAATATATTCACCGATTAGTATGAGTAATTTTGGTTGAAACTTACACACATGAGTGCTCCTGCTGAGAAACATTTCAGGAAAAATTTTTAGCTCATTATGTCCAATTAGCTTGGACTTTTAGTTTATATCGCCATATTAATATTTTATAATAAAACAAAATATTCTATTTTGTTTTTCGGCTTCATAGACAAAGTAGTTATTGAATGTTCGTTGAAATAAGAATCAGCACTATCATCAGAAACTCATACTTATTTTTTTATTGTACGCACAAAAATTATAGGGATGGGGTAGTCTTTCTGGACTTTTCTCTTTCATTCCTACCTCATATCGTTACGATTCATGGACGCAACCAGGTTTTTGTGTACTCAAAAAGTGAATACACTACTAAAACCGGTCAGTGTGTCCGGCCGTCCGTTTTTTTTTCGATAACTCTTCACAATTGCATTCGATTGAGCTGAAATTTTGTGCACAGAATTGTCTCATCAATATCTAGGTCGAGTTCGAAGATGAGAAGGATCCGTCAAGAAATGGCTGAGTTATTGAAAAAATTGTCATTTTTGATCAGATCATCCCTGAGGGGGAGTACAGAGATTTTTCAAAAAACAACTTTTTCTCAGAATTATCCACAACATTTATAAATCGACTCAGTTGTTAACGCTGATTCCGAATCTGATATTAGTTTTGAACTAAATCGTAGCTTTCTAACGAAACATCGCCTGAAACACGTCTCAAAATGCACAAAAACTGCATCCAGAAATCAAATTGCCTAGTTTCTCATGATAATTTTGGTGTTCAGATATTCTAGAATGACTCATATGTCCCATGCACTTTTTGCAGTACACATAACTCTCGGATGAAATCCGGAGTTTCCACATTTATTTGTTTGGGGGATCAAAAGTTTTGAATCTTATCTAATGAAATTTTTTTAATTTGTGGTGGACGCAAAGATTAATATATATTCAAATAATCTTTCTGTGTTCGTAAAAAGATTAATATCAACAATTTTTTTTCTGGGGGGGGGGTCCCATAGTTCTCCCTTTGAGTTCTGTCCTTAGAGTGTAGGAAAATATTGGACTTTTTTGAATAAAGGACTGAAGCGTCTAAAAATCCTATATTCTAATGGAAAGCAGCTTCATTCAGAATTAATTCTAAAACAATAATAAATCATTTTTTTTTGTTATCTTCTAGTTTTCAACATAATAACCAATGCCAATAAGAAATCCCACGCATAAAACTCCTTGGCGATATCGTCGTTTTTGGCGTTTATTTCGACGTAAAAAGCCATCACTTATTGATATAACATATCCCTACGAATACATGATGCGTTTTCGTATGCTATGCCACTGAGTTTAATTCCTATCATTGTTTCAAATCTTTTTAGCACGATTGCCTATCACAGTCCCACCACTTGTTCCGACATTAATGTCTTATCGATGGTATGTCTCTTTATTTTATTTCTCGTGTGTGGAATGTTTGTATTCGGGCGTTTCAACTAAACTACCCTAGTTATTGTTGACGTAAAGCTTGCGAGTAGAGCAAATGACATTGTATTCGCAAAGATAAAACAAGAGCGAGAGCGAGATTATAGATCGAAAAGAAGGATTAAGCTTATGCGTGTGCAAGCGAACGAACGTTCGAGCAATCGTACAGGCACGTTCAGAAAAATGCAAACAATCAGTCGACTGCCGAGTAATTGACACGCATCTGTTTAACGCCTTTTTGTGTTGTAAACATCTTCTTCTTCTTCTTCTTCTCCGCTTTTTTATTATTATTATTCTTCTTGTTCTCCTTTTGTCTTTCGTGTGAATGCACGATCACTATTGATAGTGGTGTCAAGGAGAAGACAGAGAACGAAAGAGAGAGAGAGGTGAGATATACGCGTTGCCATTATTCTATATGTGCATGTCTCGTATTTGAACATGCTCATTCTGCTTTACTCAACATCATATGTCATAATTCTCGAATTTCAAATTGAAAATCAGCAATCAAATAATAACGAAAAATATTCATTTCTTATTTCTGCGATGTGGTTTATTTCACGTTGTATAAGTATTGATTCTTTAAATACTTGTTTTCAACAGCAAAAAAACAAATCAAGTTATGATTTTTGCTTATGTCGCGGAGGATCCGGTATTTTAGCTAAAAGGTGAGACATATTCATATTCATAAATACGCAGAAGAAGAAAAGAAATAACGTCAAAAGTAAATCATTTCTTCTACAGAAATCAATCACGCAGTAGCGAATATAGGATTTTTGATCAAAATGAAACTTCTGAGATTGGTGTTAGCGAAAAAAACGTTGCTTCTTAAAATGACCCTACCACGTCTCGAACTTTTATCTTTTTATTTTTTTTTGGTTTTTGAATTCAATCGACAGATTCGAAGTACCATCTAAAACTATGCTTCCAATCAAGAATTGCAACATTGTGACATTTCGAAAATTTTGAAGCTTTATTACTCTTGACAGGAAGCAGAGTTTTAGATGATACTTCGAATCTGTCGATTAAATTTAAAAAAACGAAAAATTTGTTTGAGGATGGAGAGGATCTAAAAAGGAAACATCGTTCTGCAAACATCGATCACAAAAGTTTCATTTTGATTCCATGTTTCGAAGTCGAGATTTAGCATTAACGAAATCGTAGATCCATCACTGCAATCACGAGAATAATTACTATGGATGCTATATCGGAGGTTTCTCAATCAAAACAGACTCCAACTTCTGAAAACATTTGCGCAGAATTTTATTTAGAATAATAGCCACTGAAGAAGATTTTCACGCCCTCCTGTCCTTCACCTTGAATGGACTTTAGTAAAACAAAAAAGGATTGGAATTTAATTTGAAAGTACTAATGAGCGATGTAAACGTTTCGGAACAAAATAACTCCATATATATAGTATTCAATTCGGGTTAGTCCCAATGAGTTCCTAACCGGGATCCAAAAAGTCGATTCCGAATTCATTTCTTTTGATACATCAGCTAGCCTATAAGAAAGAAAGATCTAATGAATAAGTATTTACAGCTGACTGATCGCTACATTTTTATTGTCCACATTTGTAACTTGCAAATCGTTTTTATTGTTTCGTCGTGTTACAAAAAAAAAGTGTTTAAATGGGACTACATTAAAAATTCATGATTCTTTGCGTATCTTATCGAGGCTTTATTGAGAAAAGAGCGTCGAATTTTCAGTTAACTCAGATAATCGTTCAGAATGTTTTACACAACATTGAAATAGTCGAACCTTGAAAACTTTCATTCCTACGTGTTATGCGAATATAACTTTGATAAGTCTCTCTGTAGGAACGACGAAGATGATTGCGAAGCCTTACCAAAGAAACCTATACGTGATAATCATAGTCAACAACATGCACGACGACGCTTACCAAAACGCTATAGTGATCTAGTTGGTCCATTGTCGAATAAAATTTATCTTCCAAGAAAAGACTCACTTCCTCGAGAAACACAACTACGCGATACGTCATCACAACATGACCATCAACCCCCAACGACGAAAGGAAAATCTGGCGAAAGTTTTTGTGCTATCAATTCACATAGTAAAAGAGCCGCGGAAATACTTTCGACGATATCGAAAAACGAAAGAAAAGAACATTCATTTGTCACACGTCGATATAGCAGTAAAAATAAACAGCTATCAACAACGAACGCTGTAGATCTTCTAGCGCATCGCATGCAAGCAGCAATGAGTGTTGAACTAATGCATTCACTTGATAGAAATTTTGTTTTCAGTGATAGAAAACAATTGTCAAATTTTACCAACATAAATCGTTCACAATCACTTCACATTTCAAAAGCACCAATGCATAATCGAAAAGATAAATCTCATGATAACGAACCTTATTATCATGTTATACCGAGAGTAAAATATCGCCCAGATGATGAACAAAAATCAATAGAAACTATGTCTTCCGTAGATGAATTAACGCCCGATTATGATGATGATGATATTATTATTCGACCATTTGAAACTAATAGTAACGATGAAATAGGTGAAGAACCAGCCATCGATTATGACGATTCGAAATCAATAGAAATCGCTGAAACTGAAGAAAAACCAACGATCCTTCCAACTGATTATGATCTCGGAGTTACATCACCGTTCATTGTCCAACAAATATCGACAACATCATCTAGTACTGGAACTTATGCACACCCTCAATCCTCTGTTCCACCAACTCCACCACCATTACCAAACACAATCACGCAGCCGAAAAAGACCGCGATTCGTTGCCGTACGATTGCCGATCAAATAACAGCCGATCATAAACTTATTTTAAAAGACGAAGGAGAAACATTGCCGAACATTTACAAAGAAAAACTTTCAGGTAATTCAAGAAGTTGTTTTTTTCCTTTCATCTACTCAATAGAAATAATATGATTTCATTAAACAAATTAACCGATAGTGCAAAAGCGTAGGCATCTAAAATATCCGTCAGTAATGAAAAGTTCAGGATTTGCACCACCAATTTGTTGTACTTATGCCGTAACCGCCTCGGTTCCGCCGCCTCGTCTTCTAGAAAAATTTGTTTCTAAATGATTGCTACTGCCTTAAACCTATTCTCCTAATATGACTGAAAAAAAGAAGAAAATATCAAGATAATCGATAAGCTAAGCTTCTGGTGGATTCCGGGTCCTATCAGATAATTGTTGATCTTTCGTTGTCTATACGTAAGGGTGTCAATTTACAGTTAATTTAATTTAAAATTAAATTCTACCAAGTTAAATTTAAATGCATACACATCATTGCTGTGAGGAACATACGTGACTTTCACAGTAGTAAATACTAAATGAGAGGAGAACTTAGTATTTTAGGTCAGTATTTGTTTATAATAGTCAAGATTTCTCTACAGATTATCCAGGATCCGTCATCTTTCTTGTTCAAAATACTGGGATACTCATAAAAATGTATTTAATAGCACAATTCGTAGAAGAATGACTAGTTTTAACTTTCGAAAACAGGAAACATACTCAAATTTGACCTTAAATAGTAGCAATCAAGCCAAAAACTATGTTTATCTACTAGTTTTCAAAATTTAACTTTTCATTTAAAAAAATTTAATCTATTTTAAATTAAAATTTTTGAAAATCTATTTCTCGATTTAATAAATTTTTTTAAATTTACACGTGACACTCGTATCTATACGTTTATTTTTGAATTATTAGTTGTTCCAGTTACAGAAGAGCACCACCCAAAAAGATCCTCTCCGATTCAGAATATTCCACCGAAACCTTGTTATATACACCTATCAAAAGAAATATTAGAAAAACCAAATTTACGTAAAGTTGCTCAACCAGTTTCACGGTCTTATTCAACCTATGGTTCAATGTCACTATTAAATGATCATGATACAGAATTAACAACGATGCGTGAAAAATCTTCAACACTCATCGAGCAACCTTTCGACGGCCTGTCATCATCAGCAACGACATCTATTATAATCGAAAACGAATATGAACATCGAGCATCATCAAAAATCTACAATGATTATAAACGTCGAGCATCTTCGATCACCTATGCCACAAATAATACTTTAACCAGTACATACAGTCATTCTGCTATAATACATCCTATGCATACACATATTGGCCTACGTTCATCAACAACAACATCCTCATCGAATGATAAACTCAACGAAAATGTTCTAGCAAATAAAAAAATGAATCTTTGCGTTATTAACCAACTTAATGAACATTTATCGACTCGTTTCCGACAGCAACATCAACAAGATATATGCGTGGCAAAGACTAATAAAACTATTTCGGAAAATCCAATTGAGCATGAAAATTATGATCGCCCACCGGCACTTGGAAGTGTGGTCAATGACGTTCAAGTAAATGTTTATGATGAACCTCAAAATATGGAAACAACAAGTACAACACCAATTGAACGCCTTGATATGTTTTCGGGTTCAATACCCCCTCCACCACCACCGTAAGTCTGCATTCTCAGAAGAATTTTCAAAATTAAAATCATTCAAGAGAAAACAAAAATAAATTTAACGAGAAATTTATCGATTTTCTTCTATTTAATCATTGTCGCGTGATTGAATCTAACGCGAGTTATTTTGTTTCCGCAAATAGAATTAATATAATGAAGTTCTTGAATTCTATAATATAAGCCGTTAATAATATTAAAAAATTCAGACATACATTCGATCATGTAGCGATTTTGTATAATTATCATGCTATATTTAATAGTACTAAAATAACCTTGTTCTTATTAGATTACCAGTCGGCGGTTTTCGACCAGTGCTATCTCAATTAAATCGTCCATCGAGTTCTCAACGAACATCGGTCCTCACATTGCCACGAGAAAGTAATAGTGCCGATCTTCGCTGCAGTACCGGTACATCGACAACATCAAGTAAATTGTCCGATGCACGAATTCTTCGAGAAGTAAATTGAAAAAGCATTTTTCTATTGACTCAAAAAAAAATAAACCGACTGGTTTTTCTTTACAGCTACGTACAAATCCATTATTCACAAAAGCTCAGCAACATCTTGAAATTGAGCCTGACTTAAGCGGTCGGCCAGTGAATGGTTCATCTTGTTATTTGCGACTTGATACATGTTCGAAAGGTACTTCATCGACAACAGTTCAAAATGATTCAATGAACGATAACGTCGAGACATTCATCATGCGTCCTAGCGAATTGAAAGCTGTTATAAATAATACAGCAACATCAGCGAACAGTAATCCAAAAGAAACAAATCGATTTAACTCAAGAGTTTTGACGAACTCCTGTCTACAAACACAACGTCGGCAATCAGAACTTGAACTTATCTTTCGAGTAAGAGAATACAAGAGGAAAAGAGATCATTTGCCAGTCTACTAATCAAATGCTTTTGATATAAAGAAGAAAGAAAAATGAGACTGCCGCATGAAAAACAGAATCTCCAGGGAACAAATCTATGCCATTGGATAACGCGGCGGCTTGTTTGTGGTCTTTTTTTCTTTCATATTGTTATTTGTTTCTATCGGGTGGCTCAGATTAGATATTCCTCTCAGTGTTTTTTTTCCATAACTTCATTATTTTTATTCTCTAGGCCTTAATTTTTTCCAAAAGATTCACCATTCATTTCGCTACAAGCTTGATACTACAATTTTTTCTGCTGAAAGTTAAGGAAAAAAATTAAAAAAAGAATATTCAACAAGTATAACAACATCAAGTTTCAACGCTGGAAAATAGTTTTTGCAGATTTTTTCGTTGGTTAGTGACGATAAAAATTAGACAATGTAGGTAATTTGTAGCCTTTGAAAAGCTCTATCTGCCGATCATAATTGAGAAGTTTCCACGTGCAACCTTGTAATGCGCACTCTAAGTATCTTCTCTTTCAGATTTGCTAGCATTTATCTCTTTCAATCTGCATTGTCGATACTCCTAGGAAAAGAAGCGTAACTAAGCCAAAATATCATTTTTTGCATTCGTTCTTCTTTAATTCAGCTAACGCCAAATATCTGATTTAAGCAATATTTTGAAGAGAATTTTCAAAAAGTCAGATTTTTCGATCTTCCGTTTGGTTTCAACGACTTCTGAACTACACGACGAGCAAGAGTACACTTCAGAGTACTCAGTAACATCTTCGCTTCTGGTTCGTTTTGTGTGCCATTGTAAAAAAATTTGCAAAAGTTTGTTTTAAAAATCACTTGGAAAGTTGAAGCTGTTATACCTGTTGAATATTCTCTTTTTTAATTTTTTCCTCAACTTTCAGCAGTTAAAAATCGTAGTATCAATCTCGTAGAGAATTGACTGGCAAATATTTTGAGAAAAAAAACGAAGGCCTAGAATATGAAAATGATGCAGTTATAGAAAACACATTGAGGGAGACATTCAGTCTGGACCACCCGGCACTTTATTAATCACAAATGACAGATATGTACTTACGAGCTATGTACTTAATTTAGAGGTCAGGATCACTGGACTTTCTATAAACTATTACTAAGTACGACGGTGATCGAATGAAATTTGCCTGTAGTGACGATACCGAGATATTGAACATTTCCCTTGTTAATTCTATTGTGTCGTTCGTAACACAGGTTTAACCTAGAACTTTGCCTCTATGTGACAGAACAAAAAAAACCTATTGTGTTCATTAATTCTCTTTTTTGCGCTCCCTATTCATTGGTTTTGCTATTTCTACGGTTAACAGCAGAAAAAAATACCAGACGAAGATTATTATTATTTTCTATTGAGCGAATTAATCTACTCATCTCATACTTTGATATTATTACTCTAGAGAGATGAGCTTTTCGAACTCGACTTTCAATAGAAGTATTTTTTGCTTTGTTTTTTAGAAGCGTGCACAACGGAGTGAACAAAATCTGACATGATGATATGATTATTATTATTTTTGTCTTTTTCCTAATTTAAAATAAAATTCATTTAGGTTCAATGAAAATAATTTACAGATAATATGTATATATTTGTATAGAAATATATTCAAAAATCGACGTCATTAGAGACATGTTACTCGTGAAACAGAAGCATCATGATAGTTACAATACTTGACGAGAATACCAGTTTTAGGTTTATTATTGAATTGTTTTTGTCGAGTTCCATTTCTATGAGAATATTTTGTTAAAAATCGAATTGAAGGTTCGTTTTTATCCTTTGTGTTTATCATAACAGCGGTTACAGATGCGGATGATGAAGGAATAATGAATTGTTTATTTGTGTTATCTGAATTGTATTCGATATTATCACCCGATATAACTGATGATGGTTTCTGGCAACGATACCGCAATAAATGTAGATTATGATAGGACATCATGAAGTTTCGTAAACGTGTAGGAAAGCATCGGCATAAATATTTAATAAATGCACGACGAAATTCACGCGAGGAATAAGCGTATATTATTGGATTCACACTAAAATTAGACGTATAAATAGAAATACGACCTTTATATGCGATAGACTATACAATACCTTGAATTAATATAGCCAAACCAAGTAAACAATTGAAAAACGAGACCATTTCCAACTAGAAATTCTTGCATCCTAGTTAAAGTTGGCCTTCCGCCGATAAGCAATTTTGATATGGCAGTTAATGGATTATAAACAAAGAACGGTAGCCAACAAATAACAAATATACCCATAACATAAGCAAGTGTAACTGTTGCTTTTTGTTCTCTAGAAAATTTAGTTAAACGCTTGCCAAGTGATTGACGAGCCTTTTCAGATGACAACTGTTTTTTATTGATTGTTATTTGATGATTGTCATTTGTCATTGACTGATGTGATAATGAATTATCTGTAAATGATAATTCTCGATCAATATGTAAACCATGATATTTTCCTCGATGAATACGTAAGCATACATCTGAAGAAATATTTATTGCTGGTGAGTTCTCATTGTTGATGTTTTTCTTGGGAACCAATTTTTTTGACGTTTCAATTTTAACGCCAGTTTTAAATGCATGTAATTGCTTTATTGCAGCACGATAAATTCTTATGTAAACAAAAATCATCACAAATAGAGGAATATAAAAGGATATTAAGGACGAAACTAAAATGTAATAAATATCATCGGGAAAAAGACAACGATCGATTTCATATTGATGAACAACTAAACGCCAATAGGCTATAGCCGGAAATGAAATCAAACCTAATCGAACCATGAAATCATAAGAAAAAAATCAACGAGCTATTTTTAATTAGAAATTCACCTGAACAAAGCCAAACAGTAGCGATAAGATAGGGCCATCGTTTAACAAAAAATGCACGATGATACGATATGGGATTTGTTATTGCTGAATATCGATCCAAGGCAATAACACACAAGTCCAGTATCGATGCTGTGCTTGCGCAAACATCGATTGAATGCCAAATATCACAACACGTTTTTCCGAATGGCCAATATTCACCATAGATAATTTGAATAATAGCAAATGGCATAACACCCAAACCAACAAATAAATCAGCGCATGCTAACGATGCCATGTAATAATATGTGACTAAAAACAGCAACATATTTTCTCTTTTATAAAGCCACTTTTCATAATAACTCGTTCTATTTATAGATTCATTTTGTGAAATTTTGTTAGGAGATTATTTTAACACTAGTTGTGCTTGATGTGTGTCTATCGGCAAGCTTTTATAGATGAATACTATCAGTTTAGTGCTGATGATAATCAAGTTAATTATTGTTATTTAATAACTTGTTTCTCATTAAAAATTTTGGCCTACATCAAACATGTTAACAACCCGTGTGGAATGTTTTTACATTGTAAGATATTTTTAAGCGGCTTACATTAGCTTACTGTGACATGAGCAACTTAAAATCGCTCAAACTCGTACAGATTAAGTTATTTCAAGGCGCTTTCCTAAGTAAAGCAGCGCTTAATTTTGTTTAGAAATCGATTTTTAAAGCGTTTATCGCCGTCTGTGCTCTACATCGCATAAAAGCACTGGAAATTATTTCATATTCAAGTACTGCGAAACGCTGATTCTGTAAATTACTTAAAACTGCTGAGGAGTTTCTTTTATTTAAGCATTTTGAAGTTACTTACTTTAGAATTCACCTGTGGATACTTGAATTTCATCACTTTGAAGAAAAATTTCCTACAGAAATTCATTTAGGGACTTTGGGACAGATCTCAAAATGAATGCTGCAGGTGTTATTTGTTTCAAAAATTTTTATGTTCGAGTTTTTTTAACGTAAAATCTATAGTTTTACAAAAATTGACTGAGAAATTAAAAATACACAAGCTACAAAGAAAAACGACTCGGCACTTAATTCTTCAACTCAAAAAATATTTACTTGAATTTACTAATAAAATTTTATTTTCGTAAAGTAACTTCCATTTGAGAATGCTTTATTATATAACAATAATCATAGAAAATCAGCATTGGTGAATGCACGAAAACTACTCAGTTATTGCAATATCTAGTTCGATCCACTTACAACGCAGTTTAGTTCATACACAAATATGATCAAGTAGTTTGTATATCCGACTTCGAATTCTGAAAAGTAGAAGGACAACCAGTGTTCGAATCGAACATCTTCTAGTAGCGGAACAATTCAAATATCAAGTTAAAGAGCTCTCTATTGGAGTAAGCGCAGAAAATAAGTAATAGCATCTGAGACTAAACAACTAACGTCAGGTAAATAATGGTGTCAGTGATAGAAAGTCTTTGGTTTTGTTTTCAGTGCTAAACGTCAAGCACTTTTAACCAGCTTGAAATGTGCGCATATTCAGCTATATCTTTTTCGCTGAAATTTTCACACGGAAAGCTATTGTCATGATTTTATTGACAAACTAAACATACGAGAGAAGCTCAGGGTGAGCGTTCACTGTTATTAAAACAATCGACTAATTAGAAAAAGATTCACCTTCATTTTGAGTATAAAATATTCGAACAGGTCACGTCTGTGATCGATAATTATCTAAGTGCATCTCGTGTCGACTTATATTCGACAGTAGAATTTACTAACAAACAATTCACTTATGTCTACTAGAGAACATTATATTTAGTGAAGAATAAATAACGAGTTAACATTTTTTTTATTATGAAATTCCGGCATAGAAGTAATCAGGAAGAACAATAAGGAAATAGAAAATGTCATCATGTAAGTGCTTGTATTTTTAAAACGCAAATATCTTGTTATAATTATTTGAGTTAAAACGTTTTACTATACCTGATTTTAAGTATCGCTCTTGAATAACAGCATAGATAACAAGTGCATTACCAAAAATGGTAATCATACAAAAACAACTAAGAATTAAAGCTAATATTGAATTGGTTAAATCAATGCTTTGTTTTATTTCGTATAAAGACGTATTAAAAAATATTTTAGAATTGTTAAATAAAATATGAGCTGCAAAATTGTTTGTTTTTGGCATTCGAATTTTTCAAGACATAGGAGCGTAAGAAAAATATCGTCATAGCGCGTTTGTTTCAATCAAATTGTTGTTCTTGTGCTAGCATTTTTTACAAGAGCTTTATATCTAAAAAGTAAATCATCTTTTTTTTTCGATCTATAAATTAAAACTATTAACAAACATTACACAACTCGCATAATATAAGAATAATAATAATAATAATAGAAACAAACAGAATACTGTCACGTCATTCATCACACACTAAGATCAGACTAATAAATGAATGTTTACTACATTGCATCGAACACAACAGTTTTGTTCTTTCTATGCCTTTCGTTCTCTGCCTCTCTCTCTCTCTCTCTCTCTCTCGCTCGCTCGCTCTCTTCAAAGACACCTACGATCATTAAGCTAAACAATTATCTGGTGTCGTATACGAATGCTTGCATAATTTAAATACTCGTCACCTGTTTATGATTCGCATTTATACCGGGAGAAAAGCGTTGTATAATTAACACTGCGTTTTCTTTTCACAATAGGACGTTAGCTTTTTTTTATATATTCGAAATAGATGTCGAATATCAAAGAATGTGAAATATAGTAATGCTCTGTCTATTATGTCGTGATCAAGTCTACGTTAGAAATGTCAAAGGACTGGTTTAATATGCAGAGAAAAAAATGATTGAGAACATCTAATTTTACTTTTTGTTTTTTACCCATAAACAATGTTATTTACATCAAACAACTTGCCAGTGCTGTTTTTTGCCTATACAATTTCTTCGCATTGTTTCTCTTCTAACTGCCCACGCTCACGAACTATTCGATTAACATTTGCAGACACGACTCTAAAAATGTTCGCAAAAAAATGAATACGTCTAATTTCTGTCTATGATAGTGATAAGCATCTCTAGAGACTAAATTTAGTTGTTCATCATTGTCATGTTCGCTAATAGAATAAAACTTGTAACAATGTATCAATTTTATTTTAGGTCCAAAGAATATTTTTCTTTGGATATTTTCTCGAGGTCGGATCTATTCATTTTTTCTTCGCCCACGGTCACATCGTTTCCGACTATCATATTTCCATTAGCATAAAGTTAAATATAAATAATACCGTAATTAACAAATTTAATACAAAAGCAAGTCAAGCATAGAGCGGCTTAGATGTAGTCTAGACTAAAACTTGTCTTAATTTATTGAGAATAACAATGGTCGATCTCGGGTAAACTTTCTTCTTCTTTAATGAGCCACATATAAAGAAAACGGTATCATCACGTCAAAGGCAAATTTCGTGTCTCCGTTGTTGCAAACAAGTTATGCGTATAAATCTATCATTTGTATCAATAGATACTATTTATATTGCCTTGACTTACGACAATTGATCAGAACCGTGAAGATAATTTTCCACTAGATTTTCTTCGCTCAATCATAAGCAACTTTCAAACGAGAAGTCTTTTTTGTTTTGGACTCTTTGAATAGAAAATTAGCTAGTTCATATATATTTCACTAATTCATATTGACAAAGAAAAAAATCAGTATTTATCTAAAAAGCAATAATAATGTTTTAGCTGAAACAAGAAAGAAAAACGGTTTACAACTAATTTGTACTAGGAAAATTTTCTTTCATTTATTAACAACGGCTAATTTCTACTCCGACCGGATGTTCTATTTCTTAATGACTGCAATTTCGCTGTTCAGTTTTTTTTAAAACGTCTGTCAATCAACATAGGAATAATTATTATTTTCAATGAACCAATTGTATTTTTGCTACAAGGAAACAATACTCACATAGACTGAATATCGTCTTGACTTCTATCATTCTTGGTAAATAGTAACAACATAAAAATGAAATATCTCGACTTTGTCAAGTATCCAAGCAAATCAACAGTTCCTACTTACTGTTTTTTATTTTTATTAATTGATAAAAAGAGCAGCAAATGCACATTGTTCCGTACGAATAAAGAAAAATTATTTCGGAACGTCAATAATTAGATTCATATTCACTAGAAAAAAGAAAGGAAGAAAACGCAAGGCCTAGTCGATATTATTTCAAAATCAAGATGAAATTATTCGGCGATGCTCAATATACTCTATTCTAATAGGATTCAATGGGGGAAAAGGGCCTGCTTTTTCACATCGTATGTTTCGATAGTGTTAAATACTGGTTTTCGACATCCGATTTACTCTTCAAAGCTACATGGTGTTCGACTGCGTACGCTACTCAGACAAGAACGGAATATGCATTAAGAAATAAACCTCATACTTTTTTTTTTCTTTTGTGTCTTCCTTTACATCTGTTTTCTATCTTATTTTACGTGGCGAACGTAGATCATAAAAGAGGAAGGAAGTGATATATTGATGGCACTATCATCTCATCCCAACCCACACGCATGCGCTCTATTACTAGAAGAATATTAGGTTTTCACCTTATGTAAATATATTCATGAGAACATTGATACGACTTTCTCGTTTATTTTTTGTATTCTATTCGAGACGAAAAGTCCTACATACTTTGGTTAATGCGTTATTCAGAGATAATAATAATGATAATGGAAATTCTTTTATCTTACTAAATACGTGATGTTCCCTTTTGTTAACCTAAAGCGATAATATTGGAAGTGATGCGACAAATAGAAATGTGATAGTTCGTTTTTATAGCTCTCTCTCTCTCTCTATATATATATATATTGTATTGCTTAAAACAATCAAGGCATCTTCTTTCTTTTTTTAACCTATTGACAAGAAAAAAGTAACTCTTTGACCTCTTGTCAATGTTGATCTTCAGAAAACATTCTTTTTCAGAACTTTACCGTAGAAAAAACAAGAATATTCTTGCATTCATTGAATAGAAGAAACACGAGCAATAGAAAGACTAAGAGCAAATATTACAAATAATCAATTAATAACTAGGTTCCAATTATTCCGATAAAATACATACATGAAAGCTCCTTTTTTTGAATTATTTTAATGAAAAACTATACGCACATCTATATTGCTGACCTGACAAAGAATAAAAACCTCTGAATTATATAAAACTGAACTTGTTTTCTTATTGCTATTTTTAAAAATGATGGCAAGCATCTGATATTTGTTAAGCAAAATGATAAAAAAAAAAGAAATAATAATTTACTAGATTCTTCTCAAGATGATTTCTATTGAATTCTACTTGCATGAATGGATTTATTTGATGTTGACAATTGCTTTTATTGGATTAAAGAGAAAATAATAATAATAATAAAAAGGAAAACGACCACATAGAAAAGCTAGAACTCTATACTACTTCTTAAACAAAAATAAACAAACATTGTGAATACGTTCTGAAATGAATTGCGGAGACGTGCTTTCAGAGAATATAAATCTCAAGAGTATTTTCTTGAGAATTTAAGCTGATTTGAAATTAAAATTTCTAAATCATATGCTTTTGTATTCCAGATTCGAGATTATTTTTAGGCATAGTTTACGAATCATGTCGTTTTTCAAGTTTCTGTTAAATGAAAATTAGTTCTTATAGGCAGGTAAATAAAAATAGAAAATGATTTTGTTTCATGAATCACTAAGGATGCGCTAATGTTCAGAAAAGAGTAAGATCCACTGATGTTCACTATGACTGTGCTCTTTTTTTTTCAAGGAAATATGAACCAAATAATATGCTCAGCATCTTTTACATTCAAATTTCACGCATGAGAAGAAATTTTTATCAATTACTAATTAATAGCGCGTATAGCGTTCATGCCGAGCGTGTCTGACAGATCTTAACAATCGTATTAATTTGCCGACTAGAAAATGATCGACTATGAAAAATGAAAATTAGACTTACCAACATCCTTTGAGCTTAATTTACTCTGACAGATGTAATAAAAAGATTGAGAAGAAATGTGAACCCAATGGGGGGGGGGGGGGGGGNGTGATGTGTCTGTTCCACAAGCTATAATTTTGTAACAAAACATGCTCTGCTGCCAGTTTTTGCGTTATTTGATAGAGAAATGTTCATCCTTTCATTTTTCATGAAGTAAACCTTGATTTTCAACGGAGAAATCTAACTAGCTCAGGGGTGGGCTTCTATTCTATGTAAGAGTTTATACTCTTTTAAAACAGCAATAGTCGGGAAGGATCTTTTTCTTGTTAGTCTTCTTTCTTCCTTGATACTAGCGTCTTCTCTTCTGTCTCTATTTATTGCAACGCCTTGTTCTCATGCTCATTAAGTTCGTTGTTTGATCTTCTATTTTTCAATTTTTTCAGTTTTTTTTACTCTCCTTTTTTCTTATTAATCATTCATCTGTCATGAAGATTTTTTAATCTAGACGTATTTATTCAAATCAGCGAAGCACCTTGTCTATCTCACTGCCATCACATACACTTGTTACTTAAGCTTAACCAAAGACAGGTTTGGTTTCTTTCCAAAGGAATCATTCTTTTGAATTATGCAATAAAATCAGATTAGACTTTTGTTTGATTATATTAAAAGCTACTTTTGAAGCAAAGAAAAAAAAACAGAAAAACAGTATTACAAAGTAGTGTCATTTTTAGGATCGAATAAGAAAATTTCTCCATGATGACCATCGATCCGAATTTTCATATAGATAAACCATGGAGCGCGTCAATGAAGGCTGCAATGTTTCTCGATGACATTCAAATAGCCAAAGAACAACCCCCCAAACGAATGCAGCCAACCATGGAAATACTGGCCGTTCAGTTTTTGGCAACCAGGAACGCTTTAGTGCATAACGTGCAAGACCAACTGTTATACGTGAAAGAAGATAAAGTATAATTTGTTCATTAATACTATTATGACTATTGAAAACAAAATAGCCAACAACGAATGCACAAATAAATGCTCGTAATGGTTTTGATATGCCGAATATAGAAGCAACAATTGTTCGAAGAGATTTATAGCAAAATACAAATAAACCTAAATTTTTTCCATGTAAATAGGTCATACGAATAATAAAACGGATCCGTTGTGGCCATGGTTCATTTCGAAATAGGAATGCTTGAACAACTGAATGAGCAAAACGTACTTTAGCTCCGTAAACAATTCCTTGCCGTAGACCTTTGATTGTTGCTAAGGTTCCATGGCACGACGGGTCGTTTAAAAAACTATTTATAGCATAGGGTATGATTGACATAAAATTCATGCGGACAGATTTTAATGTTTAGAGTCTATTTGTTGTCGTATACAAATGCACATTCATGTTTTTAAGTACATTTGTAATGTTTTTTTTTGCTTGGAGTCCGTCGAATTGAATTCCATGAAAGAAAAAATAAATGGACACACACAGACGACAAATCATATGATGCGATTGGACATATAAATAATTTATAGAGGTCTCTAGCTGACGTTGGCTCTTTCATCAGATTTATTCTTGTGGCAATCGGAAAGATATTAACTGGGATTTTCCTACTATATACTATTGAGATTAACACTGATACATGAGGAAATTCGACATTTAAATTCATTGACGGATTAGAGCTAAATAGCCAAAATTCGAATCAGAATCAGACTAGAGGGCGCTCAACCCTCTCTTTCTAAAAATAATAAAGCCCTGTGACAAAACAAGAAAATGTTATTTCTTCATTTTTTTTTCTAAGTACAACTGCTTCCAAGCTCATAAACATTTAATGTACAATTAAATCTGCTATTCTGAACGCATTCATAATAAAGATTAGTCTCAAATCAGTATTCGAATTCCTAATTTCTTATAAAATATGAAGTTCTATCGATGAATGCAGTAAAGCAATTCTTTCCCTAACTCGAATTAAAATAGAATTTTTATTTTTTTAATTCCTCTAAAAAGCGCATTCAAACCAAAAAAGCAATTCCAAACAAGGAGACCCTTTAATTCGCATATATTAAACATGAACCAAGAAGAAAAGAAAAATTAAGAAGAAGTTATGATCTGACTATACAAACGAATAGTATTTAAAAAAAAGACGAATAAATGATCAGTTTATGTATATAAACTTGTTGATTTTCGATTAAAAAAAGCCTCGGACATTGGTACACGAGCTGGTCCAACAAGAATACTATCGTTCTGTTGTTGTCCTCCGCTTCCACCTGCGCCTCTAGTCGTTGTGTCTTTCGCTGAATCTTGTTGTTGATTATAAAGTGAACGAAATGTAATTGCTTGTTTCAAATAGAGTCTTGCTTTGACAATTTCTTTCAGTAAACGTTTGATGTCATCACTCTCAAGTTCAGGTAATAGACTGTCGTCAAGTTCTAAATCATAGGTCTTATCTTGCTGTAAGCGATGCATAAATAAATGTATTTCACGTGAATTATTTGTCGACCGATGATAACGACCATTGTTGTCGTGTGCTAAACTTTTCAGAAAATTATTTGCATCAATATCTTGGCAACAGAACGATACTGTATTTATCGATATACGTCTTGTATCGGTTGTGTTCGATTGATTTGTATTCATTAGACGAACTTGTTCCAATAGATAACTTGTACTATGATCAGGTTTGCCATCACTTATATAATAAATACCATCGATAGGCTGTTTCGAATGATGAAAATCAAACGCAAATTTTAATACATGTTCACTACATGTATTTCCATTTGCTTTCAATGTACTTATCCATGCGACAGCTTCATGACAATTGTCTTCTGTTGGTAGGACAAGATTTTCACGCCACATTTGATAATTATCATTGAATTGAATAAAATTGAATTCAACTTGATTCGCGAATAGTTGTTCCCATACGAGCGTGGCTAGTTCTTTTTTCAAATATTCTATATAGGATTCCATCGAGCCGCTTGTATCAACAAGAAGAAGAATACGTTTATGAACAATGGTTGAAAATATTAAACGACTTCCATTAAGCAGCCATTGCATACGCTTGAAATACCGACGTAGAACAGACTCACTTCGTTGGCGATAGTCGTCGAGTTCACGCGGACGTAATTGTAAATGACGAATACTACCTTTGATATTTATCGATGGAAATACGGAACAGTATCGAGCTGATGATGTTAGTTTTATATTTGGAACGGTGATTGTATCATGACGACCTAAACGAAACAGATAGACGAGTTCAAAATTTTCTGGAATCGGACCCAACGGTCTTTTGTCGACGGGCTAAGCATTCTTGCAGAAAAATATTAATATATAAATATTTTTCAATGGGGAAAACTGAACGTTTTTTTAGTTGTTTTACTTACATTCTGGCCCGGATACCATCTTATGAAGATCCAGTTTCAATCGAATAAGCGAATATTTTCTTAGCCATGCCTAAAAAATGTTTCATAAATTATTTTTTATCGAAAAATTCTATTTCTTACTTGTGATGTGTCATTTTCATCGTTGGTTGGAATCAGTAATAAACTTCCCGGTGAATATTTTCTTATCGATTTATTACGTGCTGTCGATGTATTTAATGCATCGGTCTTAATAATTGAAAATTTTGAATTATTTTGACTGTCCAAATAGAAGGATTCTTGTTTTAATGATGTTTCTCTTAAATAAATAATTCTTCTCTTGAAAAACAGAACAATATTTGTATGCATAATTACCTTTTTCGCCTTGAATTAACTGCATCTTGATGAATTTTATCATCGGGCCATTGTGGTATTAAACGTCGATTATTATTTGTACTCGTTGGTCTCCAATGTTGTTCTTCTGTCGAACTATTTGAATTGAAAATGTTTTGTCTGGCTGCACTTAACACTGTTTGACGAACAACTAACGGCCCTGAATTTTTGTCGATTTGTTCAATCGGAATCGATTTTTGATTTAAATTGATACTTTCACGAACTCGCCGTTTAGATTTGATCATTTCAACCAGATTAGCAGCTTGTTCAGAAAATTGACAAGCTTTTTCAATTTCGTTTTGCAATAATTTAATATCATCACTTTCAATAATACCCGTTTCACGAAACCATAAGAATCTTCCGCCCGAATGTTTTGCTAGGGCACGCATGAATTCTGCTGTTTTCGTTGCATTGGCCCATCGGCCATTCGAAGCCATAGATAAATTACTTTGTATGCCATGTTCAGATAGATAATAGTCATCAATATTAAATAGTATCGTATGCAGATAAATCGATTTACCAACATTGCATTCTTCAACATATGCACAACATACTTGAAGAGACTGATCAGGAATGCCGCTTATCAATAAATAGATTCCTTCGGGATATAGATGATGTTTACGTTCTTCCTCATTTTCGTAAATTGCTCGTAGAGCATTAAGAAGATTACGCGTACCGCCACAATTCAAGGTCAATATCTATAAAACACAGAGGAGATTTTGGAGTGAGAAAAAAAATTCTATTCGCATCTTCAAGTAATTATCTTACCCATTGCCAAGCATGTTGAAGATTTTCAATTGTTGGTTGTACCATAGTTGGTTTAAATCTCAATAATCCATCTTTATGATTTGTTCCGAATGCGATAATATTAAAAAATTTTCTTCCGAATAATTGTTGTTCAAGTAATAATCTTAAGGAATGTTGTATATGTATAATGTAGTCTCGATTTGATTGCGAACAATCGACAAGTAGAATAATATTATTTTCTACCATACTTCCAAATATTTTACGTGACGATGAACATAACCATTCCATGCGTTGTTCATAGAGTTCTACGAGTTTTTTTAGACGTTTTTGATATTCATACAAACCAGCTAAGTCAACATGAACATTTTTTGTTGTTCCATCATGCCAATCAACTTGTACCATGGCGCGTTCGTGAACTTGAGATGTAACTGTTTTACGAAGTATAGGAATATAATCTTCACATGGCGAATAAGCATTAGGAGCAAGAATTTGAAATAATGTTAATTTTTTAGCCAAAAGGCCATGTTGGTTAAGCCAATCGGCTGACGTACGATAAACAGCTGGATTGTTACTTGATAAAACAGGCAGCGACTGTGTTGGTTTAGTTTCGCTTGTATCGCGCTATAAATGAAAATCAATGAAAAATTAAAAGAAAAGAATTTTTGACGACCCACATTTTTTAACGAGGAAGTCGCTGATTTGTGTGATGATGCAGCCGATCGACCAGCAATACTAACAGTATCATTAAAACGAACGTTTGATGTTTTTCCTTGTGATCGTGCTGACGGTGGTCGTCCGGATGTTGTGTTTGATAAACCACGTTGTTGTCGAGCATAGATTATTGATGATTGGTCAATTAGATTTTGAGCAAAATGAAGCGGTGCTTCATGATTTGGCGGACGTGGAAGAAATTTCGACTGTGGATAACGAGACATTTCTAAATTTAATTCATTTTCAATTGATACCAATGCTGAACCAAGTGCACCATGACGCATTTCATTAATATGTGACAGAAGTTCATACGCACGTTGAATTTCTCGTACAAGAAGACGAATATCAGTACTATTATAGATTTGACGTGGTTCATCATGTGAATAGCAATGATAAGTATGTTTAACTATTTCGGGAATATCATTGGCCAGATTTTGTAATGCACTAGAAAAAAAGGAATTCGAGTAAATTGAGTTTTATCGTTAATGAATTGACATTCGAATACAAACTTTAATGGATTATGTGGTACCAGTGCATTTGATGCTGGTTCAGTACGGTTACGTGCTGATGCCAATGATGCAAAGGCACTAGCGGATGCAGTTACTGTTTTAAGTAATGCATTTACAAGATGATGACTACAATCGTAAGATACAGCATGTATACGTGGTACATCTTGTCCACAAAAAAGCTGTGATAAATAATCAGCGATAACGTCAATATTTTGATCAGGTAAACTTCCAACAACAAGTAAAAGTGTATCGAAATTAGACATCAATGACACACGACGTAAAGCTAAAAGTTTTAGAAATTATTATTAGAAGAAATTTGTTTTTTCTTTAGGAAGAATTACCTTTTAATAAATTACTACTACTATTCGTTTTAAACGCACATTTGCTATCATTATTGGGACATGTACTATCGATATGTGTACAATTGTCATCACTACAACCAAACGATGACTTTAAACTAGCTATCCAAGCACGTAATTCATCCAATGCTCGTGTATTAACATCTCGAACACCATTCCATAGAGCATCAACATCAGTACCATAGGCAATAAAACCTAATTGTTCCTTATAGATCAGTTGTTCCTCGATTAATTGCATTAAATGTTTATGATATTCATCGCCACGTCCGAAACTTGCTTGTCCTTGACTAAAATCTAATATAACAAGTACACGTGCGCCTTGTACAACGCCAAACACTTTTCGGCTATCTTGTAATAACCATCGAATACGATTTGATAGCGTTTCAATAGTTGTATGTAAACGACATTCGAAATCATTGATGATCAAAGAATCAAATGTGATGTGTTGTATAGCTCGACCTGTTTTATCACTGGTTGGCAATGAAACTTTACCTTTCGTTAGTAACTCTTTTAACGTCAGACCATTTGCTATTAAACCGTTTTGTGCAAGCCAAAATTGTGATGGTCGTGTTATAGAAAAATCTCGACTTTCAGCTGTTACACGACTTAAATCGTGATAATGATTAATATGTGTTGCTTGTAGTTCATCCGGAGCGACTCCGCGAGCAGAAAATGGAATGAAATCATGATCGTTATCTGGCTGATGATATTGATACTGTTGTTCATCGTCATCATCGTTGTCTTCTAGATTTCTTAGAGTCGGTTGATCATCATCGGTTAACGATGTTAATGATTCTTCTGACGACCCGTCACCTAACGACATTATATTCAATTGAGTTTTTTCTTTTTATTATTTTTGTAAAATCGGTCAGTTTATGAATTTATGTATTTGATAACGACCATTTTTAGTTTTTTGTTGTTACTATTGTTTTACCTCTTTTGAACTTGCTCTCATATATTTCAAGCAACATAGATGTCGCTTACGCTTTAGAAAACAACCATCTCCTAGATCAAATAAATTTTATTTCTTTAAGAAATGTGTCACACTACTGAGTTCTACATGGATATATTAAGAAATTGTCTGTTAGACTCTAAGATAGTTTTTTTCTTTCAAGTTGCTTCTATGGACGAGCTGTTAGAAGAACACGTGCAGCCATTGAAAGTGTTGCAGCATATCCAATAGCACAGCTGATGAATCGACTTGGTTGTGGTAAAGCCAACTAAAACAATCAAATAGAAAGATCATATAAAAGAACAATATTAATTAAATTTTTACTTGATAGGTAAGTGTATGAAGTATACGTGAAATAAAAAAGATTCGAAAATGCCAGAGAGCAGTATTACGATCAGGATTCGTACTGACATAAAATACGCCAACAAGTACGAATGGTATTATATTTTCAATATCGTTTAAATGATTACGACGAACACGTTCAACATCTGGATCGCTTGTTGTAGTGACAGCCGATTTATTTTTAGCCAAGGCAAGATCTTCCGGATTAGCAAAAACCTAAAATGAAAATAAATACATGAAAACAAATATAAAATGAAATCTTACATCTTTAGATAAACGTTTGGCCACTGTTAATAGAGACATGCTCATCATTTTAACAGCTGATGCCGTTGAATAAAAAGCAAAATTAGTAAAAACTGGATTGTTAAGTGTATAATAAAGAATCGACATGATTTAATTATTAAATTTAATAATGAAAAATAATCTAGAATAAATGTTTTGATATTTTACTAAGTGAATAATAGTCATTTTTATCATTGATATCCGTCTGGCTAAATGAAATGACCGGAGAGAAAAAAAGAAATAAACGGCCGTCAAGATACAAAATATGTAAGCACAACACACATTCTTCTCTCTCTAGATTTGTTAACCAGAAAAAAAAAGAAGAAGCAAACATTTTTCTATTGGATGGTATATCGTCCACATGCTTTCTCTTTCTCGTTCTCTTCATTTTCTCAGTACATGACCTCCTACTGTACGATAACATCATATAAGCAAAAAGAGAAAAATGGGAAAAAAATCCATTAACCGCATATCCTTCTTTCCTGACACTCAGCTGTAACCAATATCGACAATTTTTTTTTCTGTACCATGCAGTATCTAGATCTCTGATGGCTAATATAAGAAAAAAAAAGTCGGAAATAAATTTCCAAAAGAAAAATGGCTACGGAAATTTAGCCATTAACCATTATTAAAATTAATGATCAATATTTGTTTTGTTGAGCTTTCTGGAAAATAGCTGTGAAATGAAAATTATTTTTGTACTGTAAAAGATTCTATATCTATCTTCTCGGCACTCGAGCAATTTTCCTGTCATAGACAAATGAATAGAGTCAAAAATTTTCTCGTTAGATCAAATGGCGCGCAACTACATCTACATCTATAAGTAATCATAATAGAAATGGAAAATACGAACGAAAGTCAAGATTCGCCTGATATTGCTGAACTAATTTGTTTTTTACAAAAGAATAATCTGAAAAAAACTGAAGTATGTTTTCGTCGTGAGTACGATTCACGCTCGAATCAAATTTCATCAGTCAATGTAAATGATTATTTTGTTGTGTATTCATGTCTATCGAATTTTATATTGAATTCTTCATATCAATTGGAGCTAATACAATGTCTCTTTCCACTATTTGTACATCTTTATTTGGATTTAATTGAACATAATTCTACCGATGAATGTCAACGTTTTTATAATCAATTTGTTGATTCAACATTTCAGTCGTTGCATCGAGAATTTTTTAGCCAATTAAAACTTATTTCACATTCATCGAAACATCTCTATCAATGTCCATTAACAAATGTATTTCGTACGAGTCGATTTTTTTTACGTCTATCAATGACAAGTTGTAATGAATTACAAAATTTTATTGATTCAACAAAAAGTTTAACAAAGTTTGATTTAACATCATCACAAATTTCTCTTCTGCTATCTATTTTTCAACAGTATATTAAAATTGATATTGATCAACAATTTTTTACTCCATCGAATATTGTTCGTTTTCAAACTGTTGAACAACCGATGACGCCAATCTTTGTTCATACGACTGTTGCTAATACAATACAATTTACTCGATTATATACTGGAATGTTTCCATTACAATCATCAGGTATCATCGAAAGCATTTCAGTGCTTGCTAACAGTAAAATAAATATTTATTTTTACGAATGATAATTTTAGCTGAACAAAAACGAGATTTATCATCGTTATATCCACAAATGAATTATAATCGTCTTCCGAATAATATCGATTTAAACAATATACCGCGTCTTGGTCCTCATAAATTACCTTCGATATGTTTATATTCATTGAAACATTCTAAACAAACAATTAATTGCGTAACTCTATCCAATGATTGTCGTCTCCTGGCTATTGGTTTTCAATCATCAGAAATATTAATTTGCTCGTTAAATCCTAATCATAAACTTTATTCAATGAAACCAGCAACAGAACTTCATCATTCAAGCAATATTAATATTCTTGATACAAAATCAGATTTAGATAAAACAAACGAACGCTTATTAATCGGACATACTGGCAGTATATTAGCATTAGCTTTTGAACCCAATAAACAACTCTATTTGCTATCTGGTTCACAAGATTGTACGATACGTTTATGGCATTTATCGACTTGGTCTTGTCTGGTTGCATATAAAATGCATTTTCAATGTATACTTGATGGTCAGTTCTATCGATAGGAAAGAATTTCCATTGATCTTTTTATATTATAGTAACTTTTGCATCGAATGGTCATACATTTGCTTCATGTAGTATCGATGGTCTTGTTTGTCTTTGGACCATTGATAAAATAAGTCCATTTAGAATCTATCCTGAATATGGCCATAGTGGCCCGATTAATCTTGTTGAATTTCACCCAAATGCCAATTATCTGGCTTCAGCACATTGTGATCATACGATTCATCTGTGGAATATTTATCATGAGAATTCTCTAGTACGCATTTTTAATGGTCATCGCCATCAAATTAGTTCACTTCGATTTTCACCCAATGGACATTTTCTTGCATCAGGTTGTTGGAATGGTGAAATTATTCTATGGGATATTCAAAATAATCTACAAATAGCACATTTATCTTTACATAAACAAGCAATATCTTCCATTGAATTTAATCCATTAACCGGTACATTATTATTAGTAGCGAGTATTGATTCAAGTATATCATTATGGAATTGTTTTATGATAACAAAACTGTATGATGAAAAATTAACAGATTCAATAAATTCTCCTTCATCATCATCATCATCGAATAAAATACTTTTAAATTTATTTAAAACAAAAAACACTTCATTATTTCATATTAGGTTTTCGAAAGAAAATATTCTCTATGCTATTGGTTTAATCGATAGGACTAATAAATAATTCTCACCGTGAAGATCATGGCAGTTTCACATTCGGAATTTATTTATACATGGCGTCTGATTACAATCTTTTTTCGGATCAGCAAGATATTTTTGCTTTTGTAGCTTTTCCAATGTATAAGGCTTCTGTGTTACTGAAGCTCATATTCATAGATTGTCTAACTTTTCCCAACAATATTTATCAAATGTTAGGGTGTGTGGGTGTGGGTGTAGGGCGTTATTTAAGAGAAGAAGTGCACTCACACCCCATAGCCACACCCTCACCCCAAAAAGTGCATCGACTACTGTAGGTCAGGTTCTTCAAAAAATGATAAAAAAATTCATAGAATAGTAGAAAAACTTTCGCAAGTCTTTTTCGTTTTTTTCTGGATTCACAGTTTTTGGAAAGCGCATCCAAAAGTTCTCTGTTTTGACTCTATCAACATATTGATATTTTCGTTTGTTTGAAAGAGCATGTCAAGATGCAGGGCATGACGTTGTCCTTTTTAGGTCCATAAACTGTCGCTTACAATTTTTTGACTATTTTTGGAGTACTTTAACTTGTGATAACTTTTTAAACTTAAAAATGGACTTTTCAAAAAAAGGAAAACGTCATGTCCTGCGTCTTGATGTACTCTTTCAAACATAAAAAGAATTGTGGAATCGGACGAGCGATAACAGAGCAGTTTTGGATGCCAAATCAGCTATTTTTAACCATCGTTAGGTCCATATCTCCCTTAAAGCTACAGATTTGGGACTGAGAATTTTATCATAGGCTCTCCACTGCAGCATCAATATATCCTCCAAATTTCAGCCCATTTGAACGTTCCTAAGGCGGAAATCGATTTTTGAGGGGGCCTTAAGAAAATAAATGACTTTTCATGAACTCCATCGAAAATATTGTTTTCATACTCATGTTTATTTCGACTTAACCAACGCGCGATCATTCTCGGCAAGAAAAAATGTCTTATTTGCTAATTTAGTCATTGAAAGTATTTTCCCGTCAATAATGTCTATTATCAATTCTTATTTGATTAACATTATATTGAGTATGATGAAATTTTATCATCGTTTCGTTGTCACTATTGACAATGATTGTCGAGCATTTTTCTCTATTTTTGTGCTGTTCAATATTTTCGTCATAAATTATAAAACTTTGTTTCTATACCAAGCAAAAATATATATCAATGAATGATTGCTGAAAATGGAAGAAGTCAACGATAGGAACACGAGTTAATATTGAAGAATTATTTATTTCATTGGAAATATCAAAATAACTTCCAACGTAGAACAAAACGAATCCATAAGTATAGTTTATTGAGATATGCATCTTGAGGGTGTGGGTGTGGGTGTGGGTGTGGGTGTGGGTGGGGTGTGGGTGTGGGTGTGGGTAGCTTTTTATTTCCCATCGCACCCTACACCCACACCCTAACTACTTCCGAAGCAACTTGTTGGTTTTCTATGTTTCATAACTCTGTCCTCGAGTAATGTGGACAAATTACGATAAATAATCGATCAACTGTCTGAGTATTTTTGAAATTCCTTTGAAGAAAAAAAGTAATTTGATGCAAATAAAGCTATTTTATTTCGAAGGCTTCGTTTTCTTCAGCGACTAGATGGTAAACGAATAAAAATAAGTGGTCTCTTCGAAAAATATTGAAAGAAAGAGAGAACGTAATTCTATTGCATACGTTCGCGGAAAATATTGACAGAAAAAGGAAGTAAGTGATCGCACTGCACACACTAGTCGAAAACTTTGCAAGAAAAAGAGAGAAAATAATAGAAACCGATATCGTCAACGAAAAATTTTAAAATAAAAGAGGGAAGGCAATCGTTTCTCGCAACCGTGACATGAAATAGAAAGGAAAGAAAAACAGTAGCTGTATGTACCTACCGTGTACAGTATTTTGGGTGAGCCTTAGACTTTCGTTAGCTACTCAGAACTACATGAAGAGTAAAGATATGTTCGTGGGTGTACCCCTGCAAAAGAAATATCGAACAAAATCAGCTTTAGAGAGGTCAAAATTGATTATAATCGATTCCTGAAATCAAGTTTTTTACATGGATAGCTGTGGGTGCGGTCGTTAGTTTGGATGTGAGAGATATTAATGGAAGAAATACACTCACATCCACACCCAATATAAACAACTGAATGCTGGTATTTTTACAATATTAATTTTGATGTTTTCGGTGTTTTATTGCTTTTAGCTGTTTCAATATTCTGATTTTCTATATACTAGGTAACTAGCCACTCATTGAGTTACATTTTCATTTGATAAGATAATGACGAAAACAAAATTCTACATAGTCATTAAGTATACACACTTCAGCCATCAGGTGGAAAAGGCAGAGCACTCGAGACGTTTGCGTAAATATTTTATGGCTAAAAATATACATTAATACACGTCTTCTAGAGTATCTACGAGAGAAAATTTTCTTTTAAAAACTCACTGAGAGACAGAGCAAATTAAAGGACATAAATGCGTAGAAAAAGTACGTTATAAATTTAAAAAAAATGCATTTCAACGCAATACATAGACAAATACATGTATTTGGGTGTGCTAGAGAGAGAGAGAGAAAACGATGCGTTATAAGTGCAGAATAACGTTTTCCTCGAAAAATGTGCGTTGAAATATTGTTTCATACAATTTGATTTTCATGGGTTTCACTTCACCTTTTAATGAAAGGCACTGACGTTCACAGTCTTGTTTGATTTTCATCCACATCATATTTTCGTATATTAATAATCCCTTGCTTCGTAAAACTATTGCAAACGAACTAATCCGTACTGTCATAATCAAGACAAAGCCAAACGACAATGTATTCATTTATTGTTCAAAGTCTCATATTACTGCTGACTATTTCGGCTACGTTTCAGGTAAATTTGTATCATTATTAAATATTTTGAAGTTTGAAACGTTCTTCTTTCAATATTGTTAGGCTGATAATACAGTTTTATGTTTTCAAGCCGCCGCCATTCTTAAGTGTCCGTCTAAAAGCTGCAGTGCAATCGGGTATGTCAGAAATGAAGTAAGCTATCCATCCGATTGTTTTGTTATTGGAAAAGATCCTGGTTTTAATTCGAAATATTATCGTATCAATTTACTCGATGGAGGCTACGGCTACGTAAATAGCAACTATTGTTCAGGCAACAGCTACTTTTGTTAACTCTCTTGTCTGAAATAGAAACTCTAATTTATCCTACTCTCAAAATTCTTTTTGTGAAATATATCATTCTTTCAATAAACCAAGATTATTTATTCTAATACTTGCATACTCTGAAGGTCTATCATATGTTGAGCGATTTAACTTTTCCCATTAATATGTTAAAAAGTACCTTCATTTGACTTGAGTCCATCTGGTACACTTTCTCGGATCTTGACTCGGACCCAGTCGAACTATACTTTAATACATGTAATGAAATTTTTTAATTGAAATTGGACAGTTGTTTCAAAATATGAGATAACGTTTTTTGATTGGTCATATTCGGTCACTAGTGCCTACAGTACATTCCGCAGCTAGATCCGAAGAACAAAAAAATTGCAGATCCATCTTTTTTCATGAACACTGACATTTCCAACACGCTATCATGTATGTAGCATAGGAAGACGAAATAGAAACTTAAATCTTAATAAGAGCTCTATTCCGGCACATGATCATGTTTAGAGATGTTAGCCGTGCGGCTAAGTCTCAGTCGCCGTCGCCACAGTCGGAATACGAAATTTTTTTAATCTATACGTTCATTTACTTTTGAATCGCGAAATTTCATCTCAACTTTTTCCCCCTATCTACATCTAAGAAACATTAATAACGTGCAAATCATTTTTACTACTGTCCGCGGTTTCCACTTGATATGCATCTGAATATATTACCCGATACAGCGAGTTTGTATAATTTTCATACAAGTCGTTTTGCTCTAATAAAGCCACTAAATTTACTTAAACGATAATCGATGCACTCTAAATAAAGCCCGTTTTCTGGGAAGCGGATAGGAGGTTTCCGGGCTTGTCACTATATGAAACCCTTTATAGGTTTCCGTGAAAGGGTCTCCGAGCGTTCTGAAACTTATCTGAAACCCTCACAAGCAACCAAGCTAGCTGACGATTCCGAAATCTCCATGAATCTAAAAGCTCAAAGTCCTCAAGTGAGTCTTACTCACAAAGTCTTCATCTCCGTCAATGCTATTGTCATCCAATCAAGACTTCTGATGCCTGTTCGAACCCTATAATAGCACACTCTTGCTATCTATAAAAGCCAGGGTGCTTGCTAAAGTCAGAGTCCTCAAGTCTTAAACGCCCGAGGTCAGTGTTGAAATCAGCCTAAGTCTGAAATCAATCAATATTTAAGTCTCAGAAGGTCATAAACTCTGTAAATTCCCCTAAGCCAAACATCTGCGATCAGTCGAGATCTGCGAATGTAGTACTTCGTCAGAATTCATTTATCATAAATCAAAAAGGAAAAAAAGAATACATACAATTGAACAAAGCAAACTCACCATATTATAATGCATTTCATAAGACTAAATCGAAAAAAAGAATATATATGATTGAAAAATATAAACTCACCATTTCATCTTGTATTCGGAAATCTAAATGCAGAAAAAGAATATTTTATTGAAGTAAGTAAACTCACTGTATCATAGTTCCTTTCATGATTCTTAATGAAAAAGAATATATTATGAAACAAAATCAACATAAAAATATGCGCTTGGCATATTTTGAAATATTTCTATTTCAACATAAAAATAAAATAAAAATTGGCAATATATGTATAATATTCGAGCTGCTATCTGAAATCATAAAATAAATTCATTCCCAATGTATAAATACTAAAATATTTGAAACATGTGTTTCAACAGACGACGGTAATTGAAAATGAAGGAATAAAAAGGTAAAAAAGCTGTTAGCGCAATTCCTTTGGGATTAAAATGTGAAACACGATGTAAGTGTTAATTCTGACCAGAAAAACAAATTATTCTATATATTTCTGAACTTTTTCCTTCATTATACTTTAATGCACCACCTACAAGTGAAAAATGCGAGGAGGTCATAAATTTGCTGATATTGTACCATTATCTCTTCTTTGACCGTACGAAGACGGCCACTACTATTCATCAAAGTATATCATAAGTGCTCCTCTCTTTCCACCCTGAATTTGCCAACTCGTTTGTGATGGTTTCAATGTCTATCTGTTAGAATCTGTTACAGGTAATTAAGTAACTGTGCCGTACTTACCTAATTCATCAATTAAAATATATATGGAAGGAATCCAACTGTGTATCCTAAACACCTCAACATTGTTTTCCGCTCGACTTCGACAAAGCACCTCTGTGACGCTCTGTGATGGATAATTCACCTCAATGTAATGATCTGCGATGGGCAAAATTTACCCATCACAGGCCGTTACTGATAGGTAAGTTACTCATCATAGACCGTTACCGATAGGTAAGTTACTCATCATAGACCGTTACCGATAGGTAAGTTACTCATCATAGACCGTTACCGACAGATGATTACCTGTCGGTAAAGGCCTGCGGGGGGGGGGGGGGGCGCGCTGCAAAATTTCTACCCTAAGCACTTCAACACTCCTTTCAGGTCGTGTTTCACAAAACGGTGATCATCTGATCATATAATAACTTCGATGGGTATTTTAAACAGCTTTCTTTTAAAATCGTTAACTATATCGTCATTCGAATTAAACTTATGTAGCCAAACTGAAACATCGTCTACATTCCACATTAGTGGATCAAATTATTCATCTATAATAATAAAAATCGCAATCCTTGGTAATTTTCATGTACTGAGTGCACACATCTTAGTTTTGATATCAATATCAGAGTGCTTGAAAAGCTACCTTTATTTCTTCTTGTGGCGAATCAAATTCAAAAAATATTTGTGTTTTGGTACATTTGACAGACATGAGCCATCTTTGGTAAATAAAAACATATTAAAAGAAAATAAGAGATGGTCATAAATTATTAGAACTTCATTGATTAATTTGCAGGTGAAAGAAAAATATTTTTTGACTGGTTTATGAAAGCATAGAGATATTTTGAAGAAGCTGAATAAATTATCCTGTTAAATAAGAATATACATGAAAAGGATTAAAACAAAATACGTCAATTTTTTTCATAAATAAATGTTAATTTACTCTTCTTAGGAGCTCAATGTAAATTATCCGAGTTAATAAAACTAAGTATTTCAAACTATATGACACCAGCAGCCCCTCATCTTCAGATCACAATTCATTTTACAACAGTTGAAGTAAACAATACTAGACTGCATATGCATGATAGAATATCTATTTATTAGAGAGATATTTGTCTTTATTTTTATTCGAAATACAAAATAAGCATACAAAGGAAGAACAAAAACACAAAGAAAATAGAATAATACTCTGACTCATCACTGTTCATGCGGATACATCTCAAGCATGTTTTTTCGCTTCTAAAATAATAATGGCTGTTTCAGTCTATTAGAAATAGATATTTCCTCATTATTTAAAGTATACGATTATCTATAAAGCTTTTAAGTCAATTAGTTAAAAGAATCTTTAAGCATAAGAGCTTCTCGTACTCCACTGCAATGTTTTCAAAGATAGCAATGTTGGGATAATGAACAAAACTTAATTCAATAAAAAAAGGAGAAAAATGAAATTTCTTGAATGGAATGGCGATTTAGTGAAGTGTACCAAGTTTCAAAGCAAAATTCGCCATTTAATATATTTACAGCTGTATACAACTCGGAATGTAAAAATAAGACAAGATTCTCTTGGAAAAGAAGAATTTTTTTGAATCTCAATAATACTAAAAGTTTTAGAAAACAATTTCGCATGCACTGAAGATGATTTGTGTTACAGCTGCCGAGTATCTCCTAAAAATGTAAATTATACAATGGCAACGTTAAAATGAGAAAGATGAAATTTTAATACTAAGCAGATTTTCCACTATGTTTAATGGGTTTCTGAGATATGCTCGGAAACCAAGCTAGTATTCTGACATACGCTTTCAACGTTTTCCATCCCCAGAAACCCAAAAGATTCCTGAAAAAAATTTCCGAAAACCGATAGGTTGCTGACGACACGCTTTAATTTTCCGAAGATAATTTTTGGGTTTGGAATATTGTTCGATGGTTTCTGAGAAAACTGCTAAATGTTTCCTATCGGAATTCTTGAACACCGAGCCGTTTCGGGGGACTCGGAAACCAATAAGATGATTTCAAAAGCTCAGCTTAGAGCCGAAAACCTTTCCGGATACGTTTGTAAGTTTCCGAAAGGGTTTGCGAAGGATTTCGGTTTCTGTGGAAACGCTTTTTATTTAGAGTGTATAATGCTTTAAGAAAAAGCACTGGTTACGTTGATTAATAATCAGATAATATTCGAATAGTCAGTGGCTACGTGGATACCTCAAGATGAGCATTTGCTAGCCACCATTCTTCATCCACAACTCAAACATTTCGACAAAAATCTAACTGATAAAACAAGAGCAATGCAATTACTTCAAAATGAAATTGAAAAACATGCAAATCGAAATAAATTGTGTTCATTTTCATCTACATCCAATTCATCGTCTTGTACACCAATTATCTTATCTCTTCCAGCATGCTCATCAGAACAAACAACAACAGAAACAAAAAAAAGAATCTCCCATCTTTATGTTTCGATGATTCTCGATCACCAATATCCACCGTCAATGAATTTGCTTCATGAATGTCTTCGACTTTAATATTAGAAGATGAAGAAAATTATGATGTTTTAGGATTCTGGTCACATCATGGAAAATCTTTTCCTATTATTTCTACCATCGTACGTGATATTTTTGCTATTCCTGCATCAAACATGACCGTAGAAAGGCTGTTTTCTATTTCTAAAAAATACTATAACAGATAAACGAGCAAGATTAGGCATAGAAAAAATCGATAAATTAACGTTTCTCAAAATAAATCTTGATATTCTTAAAACTTTGTTTGACAAAAATCTGAATGGAATCAAACAAAATCAAGAGAAACGGGAAAATGATAAATCCGCAAATCACTCACCTGATAAAAGCATAAAAAAGTCAAAAATAGATGGAAATGACATTATTTTTATTCAAGCAAAAGAAAATATCTTTTAGTGTACATTTTTCTGAAATATTCCTATGTGAACTCTTTCAACTATATTTATAATGTTTATATATTTTACTAGCATTGCTAGCGTATATTGTATTGATGGTATTTGTTTATTTTGAATTAGCATAAATAAAAAAAAAAGGATTTTCATATATATATTGAAGAAGAATTAACATAAAAGATTTGATTCTCTGAAAAAAATGCAAATATAACCGTTATATAGCTATATTAAAAATTCATCGTGGCTGGTCGCGATCAGGTTTTGATCACGGCCACGACGGTCACGCCGATGTCTAGTATAGAGGCTGTTCTACATTGGAGCGAAGACTCCCACTCAGATTCTCATGTGTGCTCCTATTGCAAATTCTACTTTATTTCAATCTACTCCACCAAAGAAAAAATTTGATTCTCGAACAATTTTTCCGAGGGAACAGCATATATTCTTAGAATAATCACTTTCTTACTAGACTAAGGATTTCTTCAAAAGGGTGTAGCTCTATTTTTGACAAAAAAAATCAAGTAAATCAGTAGTGGAACGATTATTATTTTAATTATTGATTTCGAAAAAACACTCATAAGTACACAATCAGTATTTCAATGAATTAAAAGTAAATGTCAAGTAAATGTTTATTTTAGTTTTGTTGGTTTTGCATTTATATTCCAACTATGCGATCACATAATAGAAATCTTTTTCTTTGCATAAATTTGTTTTTTGAAGCATACTGTAAAGTCCCATATTTTGATTTGAACCAAGTGCAAATGTATAGCCAAAGCTTACATATGCTCTTAGAGCAGCTACATGAGCAACATTACTTTCATCGTAGCAATCGTTGCCAGTGCTGCCAGCAAGTGTTGTGGTGGTAACTGTCATGGACTTGTCGCCTTCAACCGAATCTTTTACCGATGAAACTTGATATTGATAACCAGTTGCAGAATTCAAATCAGTATCAGTGTATGATGTGGTGCCGACGCTTGTCACTTTATTTCCATTACGATAAACATTGTATGTTGTTATACCTGGAACTGAGTCCCATTTCAATGTGACTGAATTACTCGTTGTATCTGTCACTATTAAACCACTTGGTGTTCCTACTGCAGGTGACTCTCCTGTTGTTTTACCAGTGGCTGAATTTGAAGCACTACTTTCACTACCCGATGACGAAACAGCTTTAACAGTGAATGTATATGTTGAACCGGAATTTAAATTACTATCTGTAAATGTTGTTCCACTTATTGTTGCACCATTAACTTTACCACCGTTTCTGTAAACATTATAACCATGTGCACTTGAAACTGGTTTCCATGAAAGAGAAACTGAGTTATCTGTAACAGCAGTAACTTAAAGCTCTTTCGGTATATCAATTGGATTGAAACCACCGGTAATACGATCAATGATCTCCCATGTAATAAAAACCGCATGAAAATTGGCGGTTTACCGCAAAAAATGATCCGACATTTACCGCGGTAAACCGCCGGTTTTGATTAATACCGCGGTTACCGCTAAAAAAAAGCGGTTAGCCGGTTCGCCTATAATCTTTGACAGAAAAAGTCTTCCAAATCATCAATTAAACTATTTTAACCATCCTTTTTTTTTACTTTTACATGTGATAAACATGCGCAAAAAACCGCCGGTTTACCGCGGTTTTACCGGTCCGGTTACCGGCTCCCATTACCGCAGAACGGATAAATACCGCGGTTTACCGCAAAAAATGATCCGGTATTCGCAACATGGGTATTCGTAATAATATCTCACATAACCATACGATACATCCAACACTAGAAATATCATCGAATGGTACCCACAAAAAATTTCCCTACAAAGCATTCCTATCAAGAAAATGCGACGATCTAAACGGCTCCTAATCCATTATAAACCTGTTTGAAGTACAAAATTTCAACAGACTGGCAACACCATCGTGTTCCCCGACCCCGATTACCTTCGGTCAACCCTCACAAAAAACTAATGTTTTTCTAAAAAAGTCTTTCTCTCTCCTAAAAAAAGCAAAAAGTCAAAAATCTGACAACGACATCGTGTTCTCCGACCCCGATTACCTTCGGTCAAACCTATCCCTACAGATTTTGTTTGAGGTTAGTTAAGTTTATTCATCTGCTTTCCTATGGGACGAACGAACGAACGAACGAACAAACGAAACAACTCATTTCATTTCGGCGTAATACCCTCCTTTCAGTAGAGGGAATCAATAATAACGTTTAAAATTTTCATTTGATCAAGTTCAATCGTTTGCTTATTCTATGCAAGAAAGGAAACATTCCAATCGCCTAATGTATTTATATACATTTTTCTTTGTCGGTTATAGAACTTAAATTATAACTGTTTGATTAATGAGACTTTATATGTTCTATAATCAGGCAATACTTGAATAATTTTTTAAAGAAAAACAAATAATTAAAGAAAACTGTAGCTGTAGTACTTTATTCTCAAGATATAATTGATGTTTACAAAAATCAGCATCATATGATAAAAAAAAGTTTTTTTTATAGATATAAATGGTTGCTAATTTCATAAACTTTAAGTTGACTTTGGTTCAGTTAATTGATATAATTCCTTGATATGATTTCCAAATAATTCTTCCCATGGATTTAATAATTCTTTAATTGATATTGCACTTAATACAGGATCAAATGAACTAATTTCAAGTTTCAACTTCTGAACAATAAATTCATCACGAATATGTTCAAATATTTGTTGGGGTAAACAAAGTTTCCAACGACTAATTAAATCGATTAAATCAATTGATTGACTTGGGTTCCATTTACTAGACAAAAAAAGATATATTATTCAAAAACAAAAAGGACATCATAATTATTTACAAAATAAAATCTTGAACCAATGGCATCCAACAATTCCATACGAATTGACAATATGAATTCATTTTTTCATTTGATGAAATTTCATAATTTGGCGATAGAATATTTTCATCATCATTCAAAATTGTTTTCCAATTTAAAAACATATGAATGATATCATAATCATCATCGTTATTAATATTCCATTTTAATTTTAAATATTCTTTTACATGGTTGCTCAACATATCAACTGCAATATGCCATAATTCAAATTTTTTATTTTCTAGTAATAATTTCTGCTTCAATTGTTCAAATAATTCATGAACCACGCCAAAGTCCGACACATCATTAATTGCTTTTGCTTTTTCATCAAATCTAAAAAAATATTTTTTTTTCTTTATTAAACGATTAAATTTGATTTTTCTTACTCATTAATTAGACTTAATACTTGCTCCAATTTCTGGTCATCTTTACATTGTTTTAAATCATTTTGTAATAATTCGATTTTCTCACGAATTTGACGTTCTCTAAAAAAAAAGAAATATTTTTAAATACATTAAATCTCTCTTTTTTACCTTGTTTGTGAATCAATTATGCTTTTCTCCATTGATGAAATAACCTCATCAACAAGTGTTAATTCAATGGAAGCGATTTGTTGTTCATCACTAGTGTGCGACATTGCTTGTACTGGACAACCAATATATGTAAATTAATGTTTCACGATGTGTGTCTATCTATAATTTTCTCGTATTTTCTATGTTACGTGTAGACTAGACGCAATTTCTTTCGTGCTGTATTTTCTTTTCGTTCGTTCTCTTCACTAAAATGTCTTTTTCTCTCAATTCAGACAATTTATAGACCACAATAATGATGATATTTTTTAACGAGCTATGTGTAAGAGATCAGTTATTTTTGAATGAATATGAAATAGGGTACAACTGCAATTGAGTCACACCTTCATTTTCAATGATTTTAGCACATCGTTGAAGTGGTTCTAGTGGTTACCTTGATTATGTATTTCGTTCGACTGCTAAGGAATTACTTAATATTGATATAAATGATGAACTATTAGAATTTAAATTGACTAAGTATGTGAGTTCTATTATTTCCGTCTTCATTACAGAAATCAAGATTTTCGTGAAACCGTTGTAACAAATGATGGCATATCCATCAGGTTGTATCAATGGTGCTGGACAAATTCGTAGCATTGATGTTAATTTAAATGATGTTCGACAGATGTATGAAAGATTACCACATCTTAATCAACCATTAAATTTGAGAATAGATGATAATCATATTCCATTATTTACTGAATATCATTCGATTGAAAAAAAATATGTCAAATGCTTCTTTATTTAAAATGGTAATTTTATTGTTGTTTATTTTTGTTTTGTTTTAGATAAACAATAACAAAGAGAAATATGTCAGTTGGAGACTTAGCACCTTATAATGAAGAAAAAATACAATTGATGGATACTGATTGAACAAATTTACAATTAGAAGCACAAACAATAAATCGAACTACGACAGATGTTGTTAATACAGACAAACAGGAAGAACATAATAATAATATAGAAAAAGATATAGATAAAGATAAAATACCTTCATTATTTGTGATTGAAGTGAGGGAAAATATATAAGGTGCACGTAATTCAAAGTTTCCACCAGTTTTATTTTTCGTTTTAACACATGGTTGGATTCGCTGTGTAATGCTGATCACGAATCTGACCTTGCTTTTTTTAAATTTTTCTTGTGTAATATTGAATAAAATCCGATGGTTATGAAGCTACGTCGATAACATTTATGTAAGACGTTTCGTAGATTTCCTTTTAGCATTAATTGCTCTGCATTCTGCTAGCGTACTACATGAATTATAAATAAAACTAATCAAAAATGGAATCTCGTTATGTGCTTTACATATAAGATATCAAACCAGTTCACTAGTACTTTTGTTAGTCAACTCGATTGAATCATATTGCAATGGGAAGAGCACTAGTTTCATTAGCATTTGAGAAAAAAACATGAAGAAAGAAAATGAAATAGACTGATTATGAGTTTCACCGGCGTTCGATCAAAGTGAATGGACAAAATTTTGGGTCTGATCGTTGGTCCGCACGATGTATTTTAGATCTGGTGGTGCATTAAAATAAATAAGTATGCAAGCTCACCGGATATGAATCAAATTGACTGCGATATTTTGATTGTACACATAGTCGGTAGCTAGTGGATCTGTTCGAATTAAGCGTGATTTAAAGAATTCAATTAAAAGACACATATCAGATCACAGAGGTTTTATCTTGCGGCTTTTTCGATGAGACAGAGTTGTAGTCGGTCGGAAAAATACGAGATCAGTCCGGTTCCGCTGGTGTTAGCTCTGAACCGCTGCGACTCGGCCGATGTAAAAGTCTTCCTAGACCGGTAAAAATCGGTGAGTTGATACAACTGTTACAGTCAATAAAATTAATGCTTCAGTTTAAATTTTTACTGAGTACATGAAATTTACATATATCTTTTCAAGAGTTCACTAATTCAAAAATTTTACTTTTAATTTTTTTTTGAATCTGCTGAGTGGTCAGTATGTCTGCATCCATCATTTTCAGGAAAATTAAGATATTATTTTCCTTAACCTAGTATCGTGAAAGTAATAGACAAGACTGTACAGATTACGTTGTTTAGTCACAAAAGACTCATATGAAGCAAAACAAGAAAATTCAAATTATCAAATGTCGTCTATCAATTGTCGCAAAAAAATAGAGCAAGATTAAAGAAAAAACACCAAAGCCGACAGACATGCAGCATAAAACAACCTTCTAATTGTAATCTTGTTTGAAAGATTCATTGATAGATCATTTTATTTAAAAGAAAATAGAAAGACAAAAAAATGTGTGAAAACTTCACTCAAAATGAGCTATAACTCTTTTTTCTCAAAGAAATATCCGTCACAAGTGCATGATTTCTAACTGATCGTAACTCGACTCATATGGACAATTTTTCTGAAAACGGCAAACGCCGGTAAAAACCGACCGATTTAACCACTTGAAGTAGACCGATAAAAAACCGATGAGTATTGGTCGGTTCAACTTTATTCACCAAACTGGTTACAACTCAGCGATGAGATGTCAATAACTCGAAATGATTCATAATGATGTTTAGCGTCCAATTTGTGTAAAAAAAAGTATTTAAAATAGTTGACTAAATGTCGAAAGAAGAAACGAAAAACATGAAAAAATAGAACGTAGAGAAAGATTACCGAAAAGAAAAGATTCAAAGAAGGACCATCAAAAATTTCATCGAACAAATTTCTATTTATTGATGATGCTTTGCCAAAATACATTTATCATCAACTTTTGTTATTTTAATCCTTTAATATCTTAATCCTGTAAGTAACAGTACCCTTAATGAAGGATACTCTTTTCGAGGCAGATTTTCAAAGATTCATCTAGCGTATTGGGTAGAGACGCCGTTTCATATTCAAAATTAAAAAAAACTTCATATTTTATGTTTCTACATTTTCAAAGCTGATTAATGAATGTGTTATATTATAACTTCTTTTTTTCCACAGTTTGAAAGGAATTATTAACAATTTCTTGTACATCATCTTAAGTATCATCTATATTCATATGAATGACGGCGTAAAAACGGCTATTCAGTACATGTGCAAAGAGAACAATGGTATGTTACTACTCAAAGGGACAAAGTTTTTTGAAAATTTTTTAAACGTTAAAAGAGGAACCACGACTTTGAGTCACTCGTGCTTATTAAGAGAACACAATAGGCGCCGTCTTTTGCGTTTAATTTTCACGTTCAGAAAGTCAAAACAGCCAAAAACTTCTGTTTTCAAAGTTCAAACTTCAGAAAGAATATACAAGTAATGTGCTTTAGCACTCATTTTCTCAATTTTTCACTGCTGCAGCACTGAAAATGAAAAGTAAATGGAAAATCCGCGCTTCTTATGCTTGTCTAATGAGCGTGAATATCTCATGAACGCTCTTGTTCTTTGATTGTTTAAAAAGTTTATTTAAAATATTGTATGGTGGAGTGGAGATCACAATTTAACATATTTTTGCGTTTCTTCTACTTTCAATCTTTATAAATCGATAAAACAGAATCTAACACTTACGAATATCACATCTTTTTTCAAAAATCGTTCAGTAACAAGATCTAGAGCATGCCGGCAAGCTTAAAAACTGTTTTTTCACCAAATATATGATCAGTACTACTAGTAGTTTAAATGTATGAAAGAAGTTTAGAAATAATCATTTTTTTCTATTGATACTCATAAAATACCGCATTGATTCAGTTCTTCGAAAATATTTTCCAGTAGAAGATTTGCCGAGATTTTTACGCCATTCATATAAATTGATATGTGGTACTCTACGCAGCGCATATAACAAATAGACTGTCTTTTAATTCAACAGTATGGTAGCACATAAATTCAAAAGTTAGCTTGATTTTTTGAGATTTATAACTCAGATACATTACAGTCAATTTTCTCATATCTAATACATTCCAAAGCTAAAATTTGCAAATCTCTAATTTATTAAGGTAGAATATAGACCATTAACATCCACAAAATTAAAAATATTCTTCAATGCATTCAAACATTAATGGTCATTTCATGAATATGCCAATAGAACCTCAGCGATACTTTCCTACTAACGTTTCAATTACTATTGATCAGCAATTCATTCTTATCTTTCGCTATAACACCACTCTTACGCCAACATTAGATGCATTAAACTTAACCTTTTTTTCCATACGTCAGCATAAAACCGAATTTCTCTTGCTGTGGTATTTAAATTAATAGAAGTCTTTAGAATGATTCTGTTTGATGAGCTTTTCACAAACAAAACATAGAAGCCAATTGTTACATTTTTAAATCAAATCATTTATTTTATTTTATTTTAAACCTTTTTTCTTCCGTTCTCAATGGGAAACAAGTGGGAAAAAGTTTCGAATAGCATCAATTGAATCACACCATTTGTTGGAAGTTAGTATATTCTCTACTTTAGAGCAATTATCTCTTGCTTGTTGTGAGTCGCGAGCAACTATTGTTAACAAGACTTGCTCATGAATAGCCAGCTCGGTTAGACAAGGAAGACGACTTTGACAAAGAAGCTGCTCAGCATAATCCATATGAATGTCGAGTAGAATTAGTGCAGATAAACGACTGAAGTCAGGATAACTTGTTGCGATCATTCCTTTCCCCTGTTGTTCAAGTTTATTGAACACTTCGAGTGTCTTTATATTGGGTAGAGCACGAGCGATACGTGCAAAAAAAAGATTTTCGAACGGTTTCACATCGTCGAACAGTAATAACATGGTAACCATTGAGAACATATTATTCATATCGAAGAGCGGAAATCGATTTGAAATGAAATCAAGACGATTGCCGATAAATGGAAGTGAATACAATTGACATTGACCGTAATTATTATTGAAATAATCGACTGTACAAATAACAGCTTGTTGACATGTCATAACACTTTGACGAAATGTGCCAATCTCTACAGGAGAAGCGTTTTCTAATATTGAACGAATGTGGAAATTAAATTGGCATAGATGAGGCATGTATGAAACAATGTCTTTCTCTAAATCTAATTCAGTAACAAAATGACCGAGTCTAGTTGTTGTTATATTAATAGCGAATAATAATGTTAAACGTTCGACATTTGAGAGCCGTTGCAGAAGAGGAACAATGCATTCGCTATAGTGAACAATATTTTTATAGATTGTTACTGTCAATTGTTTCAAATTGGGGCATGAAATCTAGATAAGAAATTTTAAAAAGATTTGAAATTAAGAAATATTACTTACCGATGATATTTGAGAGATAATATCAGCCTTCTGTAAATAAACATGTGCAATGCTAACAGCAAATGAACAGAGTTGCGTCCCCAACTCAGTTAGTAAACGGACACAATCGCCGAATCTATTTAATGTTATTTGGATACGAGACAATCGTATTGATTGAGGAAAAAATAACCCGTCCGGATTGATTATATTTGGTAAAATACAGTCATTTTCAAGTTCCAACGATACAATAGAACGCATAAATGTTGAACAACGAACAGTAGATATGATTCGATTACCACCGGACCCTTCAAGTCGAACAAATTGAGGTATAAAACAAGAGAGAGATTCACTGTGTAACACACGATAAATTTCCATGCCTAATAATATAAACATACATATGTGTATTCGAGTGATACAATATAAGTTTTCAATTTAGTCTTTGGCCTCTCATAATATTACCGTGGAGAAAAACACTTTTCCATATCTCTCAACTATCATTTTTCTGAGAAACTTTAGTATGTTTTAGTACAGGTAAAACAATAGTGAGCTTCTCACTCATTACTCTGAACTGTCGATATTCCACATATACGCGTAGTGTCGATTTCTTTTTTATAAAATACCGAGACGTTTTTTTAAATTCTGAAGTCATATTCTGTGACTCCAGAATTCAATGCAGAACATGAATTGCAGTAGTATTTAGATACAACTAAAAGAAACTTATTAGTTTACTTGATGCATCTAATGTATAAGGAGTGCCTGTTCGATGAGATTGTCTACCAATCATTATCTTCAGGTGCATCAAATTCGGAAGAATTCCATTAGAGTTTTTTTCAACATAACTGACAATATCGGGAATTTGTCGAATATTGAGTGTCAATGTTTGAATATTGTCGATAATACGATACGCAACATGTGTATAAAACCGCGTCATGAGTGATTCATACGGTGATTGAAAACAATCAATAGTTAAATCGATTGAATGACATTTATCAAGTGCAAGTTGTTCCAAACGATTATTACCAATAGCAATAATAGAACAAAGTAATGATACTTTAGGTTTGACTTTATTCATGATCATTAAAATTAACTCATCAGGTAAATCAACCAGTTGAACATTGTCATCTGTAAAAAAAACAATGAAAATAAATGACACTAATAAAATACTCAGACAATCATACTTAACAAACAGGTCATCGTTGATATAATGTTTCTCACTAGCACTAAAACAGACGTATATGTATACATGTATGTGAAAAGTTATGACTGATAGACATTGTGCAAAGAAGGACCAATCATTGATGTTCAATAATTTTAACAAAGGATGTTTTGTATAAAAAAAGGAATAGGCAGGTCAACTAATCGGATGAAAGAATGTGTCAAATATGTTGACTCTAGAATGTAACTTGTTGGATTTAAATATGTTTAACTTGAGAAAAACTTATTCTAAAATTAAAAAAATATCATGGAACATTGTTCAGTTAACAATAGACGAACTCAATCTTTTCAGATACGTGCAAAACAAAGAAGAAGGACAAGGAGGAGAGGGATGTCATAATATCCACAACTTGGGT